TCAGCCTGCAGGGAGAGGTGGGAGGGTGTGGGATAGCGGCCCGCACAGACTTACAATAGTTACATAGTAACATAGTTAGTCTGGCTGTAAAACAACAAAAGTCCATCTAGTACAAGCATTGGAAAAAAAAAATTATTTAAAAAAACGTTATAATCCTATACCCACAGTTGATCCAGAGAAAAACAAAAAAAAACCAGCGAATGCATGATCCAATTTGCCTCTCCTGCAGGGGAAAAAAATTCCTTCCTGATCCCCCCAAGAGGCAATCGGATATTCCCTGGATCAACTTTACCTATAAATGTTAGTAATCCAGTTATATTCTGTGTATGGAAGAACGAATCCAGAGCCTTTTTTAAGGTAATCCACTGAGCTGGCCAGAAACCAACTATTGAGGGAGTCTTTTCCACATTTTCACAGCTCTTACTGTGAAGAAACCTTTCCGTGTTTGGAGATTAAATCTCAAGATACACATATGCTACAGTTACATGTATATAGCTGTGCACAACATTTTTCTGTAATGTAATCTCACATATGCCACTGTTATGGCTCCTGAGCAGAACCCCAAAAAAGCAACAGGAATATTTTGCCTTGTACAGGCGTACACCTGTGTCTAACAGCCCTTAGACTTCATGCACACTTGATGTTTTTAATGCTACTTTTTGGGGCATCTGGTGTTTTTTTCTGCCTGTAAAAGGCCCCTGCATGTTAGCCTGTGCTTAGCATGTAAGTAAGTGCTTAACGTGCTTAAAACGCTCCTAAATGGGTTCCACGCATTTGCAAGCTTCAAATGTTTTTTTTCTGTCAAAACTCTGCTGAGAAAAGGCATCTAGGAGAGATAAGCAAATGTCCTTAAAGTGGTTGTAAACCTCAGAAATGAAATATGAACACAGCATATCCCTCTATAGTGTGGACTTGTCCTAATCCAGGGCGCTAAGTGTCATTTCTGTCTGCTGCCTCCTTCCTCTGCTATCAGCATGAGTCACTTCTGATAAATTTTCTTGACACCAAGAGAAAAATGGTGATGGGAGGGACCTCCAACAGAGTGACAGCCTCAGCATTGTCCCTGTGTGCTGTGTGAAGGAGGGGTGTGTGTCCCTTCCCTCCAATCAGTTCTCAAAGATCGCCTCACGGATGTAACTTCAGCCCCCCATTCCCTGCTTTTCCAAGCTGAGAGATTCTGTGTAAATTCTGCACTTTGAATGGATGTAGGGGAAACACAGCTATAGATAAACAGGTACCACTTACGTAGGAGGATTTGTTTCTTCTCTGTGTATCACCTGAGGCCAGTCACTTCACTGGGTATATATAACCCCAAATAGCCACTTTAAAGCAGAACTTTACCCTAAAGGGGACGTTTCTCATTATGCCCCCCTCCTCTTCTACTTTTTCCAATTTTTTTTTTTTTGGGGGGGGGTTCTGGTATTGACAGGTCTCCGCTCCTACTTCTGGTCAGATCACCATGGCAATTCCACTGGAAATTCTCCCCCCCATCCTTGCTGTTTGCAACCTTTTGGGATATGTCATAGGTCCCAGAAGATGGCAGGACCATTTGCAATGTAGCTCACGCATGTACAGTGGGAAGCCGGGTGGGAAGCCACAAGAAATCATAGCTGGCTTCCCTCGATAAACATGCTGTCGCCGGGGACCTGAGGACTGGCGAAGAACCAGCCAGGGTGCAGACTCTGGATGTGTTAGACATGCCCAGAAAAGAGTCATCATTGTACACAAGGCATGTGTAGCATGTCCAGTCCTTCTGCCCCGCGTGCTGCCAGGACCCCCCTATCCCATATACTCGGAACCCTGACGACTTCAGCTTCAGCCTCTGATAAAAGTGTTACTAAACTCACAACAGTAAAATCAGCCTGTATATACAGTAAAAGCATGCTTTTTATACTCACTGTGGAACCTAAGGGGTTCTGTATTGTGTAAAAAGGCTGTTTGATCCTGACTTCTCTGATCCTCCCCTTCTTCCAATGTCCCCCTCTTATCTCCTTATAAAATATATAGTGTGGGCGTCACTCTGCACATGCTCAGTTTGGTTGCTAGAGAGTTTTTTTTTTTCTTGGGAGAGTGCATGTGATCAGCACAGGGCCATCATCATTGTCCAGACAGAGGTCAGGGGTTCTGCATCCTCCTAGAGCAGAAAGAAAACATTATTAAAATAATTGCATTTCCATGTCCCTGTGTGTACTGTGGGAGACCATTATAGTGAATGCAGGGTCCTGGGTTTAGTAACACATTCAAAGTGGACCTGCATATGTGAAGTGTACTATTTTCTTTTTTTATATAATACTACTATATAGTTTTTGTCATTTTTCTTTTTCTTTGAATCTTTGAAAAAATCTGATTAATAGAAGAAATTACCTGATTCAAAAAAAAAAAAGAAAAAAGTGGAGCTGCACTGCATCTGAGCACACACAAACCAAAAATGCTATTTAATTAATTCTTAACATGCAAAGAAAATGTACCCACCATCCATGTCTTCATGCTTTAGTAAATTATAATGCTAAATACCTGATTGGCTCATCAGCAGTATTAAGCACCAGTCTTGTGACTTCTATCAGTGTCCAGCTGAGCACTGGTTAAAGCTCTGTAGGAGGAGTTTTCTTTCTGCTCTAGGAGGTTGCAAGAACCCATGACCTCATGTCTGGACAGTGCTGATTGGCCCTGTGCTGATCACATGCACTCTCCCAAGAAAAAACAAAAAAACCCATGATCCCCTATTGCCCTAGGGGCCCCATGAGTTGTCAGTCTGCCCCTGGCTCGTTTAATTTATACTGGGATGGGATTTATCCTGGAACCTGGAGAGTAGCAGCCAGCTGACCACCTGATGAGCTGACCATGGTGTGCCAGATGATCCCGAGTTACCTTTAGGATCCAGATGACCAGGAGTTGTGTAATTTACTCAAATGCACATTTTTTTGCTTTTGCTTTCTGGGGTTAGTGCAATATTACGCTCGTTTTCCATCCACTGGGAGTCACGGAATTCACCTTTTATGTTTATTGGACTTTTTACCTCATCATTCATATTTGTCGTGTCACCTTTGCACTTTTATGCATCAAATCAAGACGCTACTCCTCACCAGTGTTTTTAGTGACTCCACAGTGTATGTTTTTGCACGTTTATTATTATATATGTGGATATATTCAGTTTATCTTTTTTTGATGATTATTGAGGCCCATAGCAGAAATGGAAAAATTGCTAAGGAGTGAACAAGTGTGAGAGATGAAGTGGTTAAAAGCCAGCTGCTACAGTGTTGCTGCTGATTTTCATTTTTTCAAACAGACTGAAGCTTCTCTGTAACCAGTTGCCAACCGCGCTATATCTGAAGGACGGCTACAGTGCAACTGTATTTACCTGGTGCTATGGTGCTACAGCTAGTGTGGGTTGTGGAATCCTGGGAAGCGACATCCATGGATGTCATTGCAGAACCCGCCCCCCCTGCGACGCCCCCAGCAGCAGCACACATGCGCTGCCGCCGCCGTGTGATCGTTGTGTATGGTTAAACAACCAATCACGGCGGCCTTTTTACCATGTGATCAGCTGTGTCCAATGACACAGCGATCACCAGATAATTACAGTTGCTGGCTCTTGGCTGCACTTTCCTCATGCTATCACAGTGTGAGGAAATTACTACTGAGAGGCAGCAGTTGTCAGCAAAGGGATCAGGCACTGATCATCACAGCACATGATGATCAGTGCCCAGCAGTGCCACCCACCTGTACCCATCAGTGCCACCAACCTCTGCCCATCAGTGCCAACACATTGCCCTGCAGTGCCATCACCACCTGGCATCTGGCACATCAGTGCATACCACATGCCCTGCAGTGGCTACCCACCTGTGCTGGCATGTGCCACCCACCTGCGCCCATCAGCCCAGCCACCACCTGTTCCACTCAGAGTGCCACCCACCTGTGTCGCCACAACGTGCACTACACACCTCCACGTCAGCCCCTGCCCCCAGCTCAGTGCCACAATGCCACCACACCTGTCCCTGCAGTGCCTATCCCACAGTGGCCTGTATCAGTGCAACCACTTTTGTGCCCCAACAGTGCCACCCATCTGTGCCCTGCAGTGTTACCCACCTGTGCCCAACAGTGCCACCCACCTGTACCTTGCAGTGCCAACCACAAGTGCCTATCAGTGCCAACCACCTGTGCCCATCAGTGTGCCCAGCAGTAATACCCACCTGTGCCATGCAATACCTCCCATCAGTGCTGCCCACCAGTGCTGCCCATTCAGTGCCATCTATCAGTGGCACCTATCATGCTGCCTATCAGTGCCCATTAGGGCTGCTGTCATGTTTTTTTGGCCACCGGTCAGATGCACCTCATCAGTACCCCCATCTGTGCCAGTGCTGCCTATCTGTGCCAGACATGCACATCAGCTACCGTTGCTGTGCCAGCCTCATCCTATCAATGCACATCAAGTGAAGGAGAAAAATTACCTGTATTGCAAAATTTTTATAATAGATACAAAGAAGAAAACAGTTTTTTTTTTCAAATTGTTTGCTCTTTTTTTGTTTATAGTGCAAAAAATAAAAGACCCAGGTGATTAAATATCACCAAAATAAAGTTCTATTTGTGCGAAAAAAGATTATAAAACCTTTCACATGAAGTACAGTGTTGTATAACCGGTCACTATTGTCATTCAAAGTGCGACAGCGCTGAAAATTGGCCCTGGGCAGGAAGGGGCTATAAGTGCCGGTAGGCAAGTGGTTTAAAGCAGGCAATACATGGGTCAAATTGCAAACGAAAATCGAAAACACCGTTCGTTCTGTAATCGATGGCGCCACCAATGATTTTGATGGCGCCTGGACAACGTTTGGCCAGCCATGTTTGTCCCCTGCAGGTCCCCGTCGTGACGTCAGGATGTGTCCAACATGGCGGCGTCCAGTGCTGTAAACACGTGTGCTGGACAGTAATAGATCGGGCTGGTTTGATCGGTAATCGATTTATCGCCGTGTCAGTGTGAGAGAGCCGCCTTCACTGCCGCAGCCATGTCTGGGAGGAATAACAACAAGCTGCCCACCAATCTTCCTCAGCTGCAGAATCTGATCAAGAGGGATCCGGACTCTTATACGGAGGAGGTGAGGAGGGGAATGGTGTCTACATACAGACACGGGACCCCTGATATCTGGGAGATAGACTAATCCAATGACACAGCCGGAACAAACAGCGACCCATAGGGACTAGCTGACAGGAATTCTCTGATGGCTAATACATCGTCATTTAACCCCTTCAATACCTGGCACTTATACCCCCTTCCTGCCCAGGCTAAGTTTCAGCGCTGTTGCATTCTGGATGACAATTGCGCGGTCATGCAACACTGTACCCATATGAAAATTTTATCATTTTTTTCACACAAATAGAGCTTTCTTTTGGTTACTTGCCGCTGGGTGTTTTATTTTTTGCGCTATAAACCAAAAAAGATCAAGCATTTTGAAGAAAAAAGTTTTTCTTTGTTTCTATTATAAAATTTTGCAAACAGGTAATTTTTCTCCTTCACTGATGTGCATTGATGAGGCGGCGCTGATAGGCAGCACTGATGAGGTGGCACAGATAGGCGGTACTGATAGGCAGCACTGCTGGGTGTCACTGACTGGCTGCACTTCTGGGCACAGGTGGGTGGCACTGCTGGGCACTGATCATCAGTGCCGATCCATCCTCTAATAATTACAGGTTATCGACAATACTTTTCTCACGCTGTAATAGCATGAGGAAAGTACAGCTGATAACCGGCAACTGCATTTACCAGTGATCTGCTGTGTCATTGGATAATGCTGATCACGTAGTAAAAGACCGCTGTGATTGGCCTTTTACCACATCACGTGATCAGCTGTGTCTATAGGACACCGCAATCACAGAGATCGCCGGGTGCGCACCCCCGCAGCCAGCCGTGGTGAAGCTGTCATTCGGCTATCTGCGGTCGGCAAGTGGTTAAAGCCTAACTCCAGTCAAGTGTTTTATGAAGCTTTGAATACAGTGCTGAGAAGTCATGGAGGAGCTTCAGTCAGGTTTAAAAAACATTAAAGTCAGCAGATACAGACTGGTTGAACAGAAATATAGAAACACTACATGATTTGCAGGTGTGAAAGTGACGAGATGTTTTGCATTAAAAGCAGAAGTGATGTAATATTCTTTTGCTTCTGCTGTATGATGAGACACCTAGCTAACAGATGGGAAGCCTCACTTTCGTCATTCACTGCGTGTGCTGCTAGTAATATGGAGTCATGTCAGAGCTTACTGAGCTTCAAAGAGGGAAAATTGTTGGTGCCTGCTTAGCTGGGGACCCTGTGACTGAAGTTGCTAATTTATTTGCCGTGTCACAAGGTACAGTATCAAAAGCTATGACGGCATATACAGTTTTCCGGGAAAATGTCAACTGACCGAAAGAGACAAAGAGATATTACGCAGGATTGTGACCCGGAATAAGAAAGCAACTGCTGCAAAAGTGACTGCAGAACTCATTCTCAGTCAGTCCCGTGAGGCTCCGTAAGCTCTGACATGACTCTGTATTACTAGAAGCACACGCAGTGAATGACAAAGGTGAGGCTTCCTACCTGTTAGCTAGCTGTCTCATCACACAGCAAAAGCATGTTACATCACTTCTGCTTTCAGGGCTGGTTCACACTACATGCATTCCAGTGCGCTTTTTTTCCTGCATCCAAAATGCACAGAAAGTGAGTGTATGTGTATATATATATATTTTTTCTTACTAGAAGCCTGCAAGGCATTGCACCTGCGATCAGTAGGCCACGAGTGTAATGCAGGGCTTCTGTAGACTGTCAGGGTATCTGTGTGCTCATACATCAACAGAGAGAATCAATCAACTACCAGAGCATTCAACAGCACCCTGTCGAGAACTACAAACCGACATCTGCAAAGGTTCTCAGTGCTTGTACTTTTCCCATCCATAGATGGGATTGAATGTTGCATCCGGGTGGGCGAAGCCCTGCATATCCGCGTCTTTTATAAAATGTGATAGCGAGTTCACAAAGAAGATCCCTGGCCTCCTGTCACAGGGAGGCAATGGATCGGGGAGCTGCTGCAGGAGTGAGAACTTGTTCCACTGTAAAAAACAGGTGGAATGTGTTCCAAAATGTGAACTTATCCTTTAACCACCTTCCGCCCACCATATAGTACAATTGTCGGGTGCAAGGTGGTTCTCTCGTTCTGATAGGACGTCATATGATGTCCTTCCATTCTCACCGCGCATGCGCGGCGATCGCCAGTGCGCTGTGTCCCTCGGACACAGCGGATCACGGAAAGAGCTGAAGATGTTGGCTCGGTCATGTGATCAGCTGTGTCTAATCACAGCTGATCACATGTAAACAGGGAATGCCAGTCATTGGCATTTCTCTCCTCTCGAAGAGGAGAGGAGAGCCGGTAATCGGCTTTCCGCGGAGGGGACATGTACACTGATCATCAGGGCACTGATGATCAGTGTGGCCCTGATGATCAGTGTGGCCCCAAAAGTGCCACCTGTCAGTGTCCATCAGTGCCAGCAGTCAGTGCCACATCAATGCCACATATCAGTGCCCATCTGAGCTGCCTTTCAATGTCACCCATCAGTGCCAGTCAGTGCCACCTATCAATGCCCATCAGTGCCGCCTGTCAATGCCCATCAGTGCCACCTATCAGTGTCCATCAGTGCAGCCTATCAGTGCCCATCACTGCAGCCTCATTAGCGCACATCAGTGAAGGAGAAAAATCACTTATTTACAAAATTGTATAACACAAAAAAAACTTTTTTTTTTTTTTCAGTGGTTTTTGGTTTGTTTAAGAAAAATAAAAATCCCAGAGGTGATTAAATACCACCAAAAGAAAGCTCTATCTGTCTCAAAAAAAAAGATAAAAATTTCATATGGGTACAGTGTTGCAAGACCGCGCAATTGTCATTCAAAGTGCGACAGCGCTGAAAGCTGGAAATTGGCCTGGGCAGGAAGGGGGTATAAGTGCCCTGTAGGCTAGTGGTTAAAGTAGAACTTTACTTTCATTTTGGATAGAGTATGGAAGGGTTAACTCCTGTCAGCTTTTTTTGCCATCTCTGTCCCATTACCAAAACAGGAAGTGAGAGGACATCCCTCCAAAGTATGAAAATCCATGGTTGTCACCAAAACTAGTTTCCTCACTGGACGATTTCCACTCTATTCCTGTCTTGGTGACATTTGGCGTTTTCTTTCACTCTCAGTGATGACAGTAAACAGGACAAAAAAAGAGGATGATTCTTCCTAATGGGAACACAGCAATAAAAACTTGACAGGTGATCTAATGCCTCTTCACTCTGTCTATATGTCTATAACATAACAAAGGTTTTGCCTTTTAGTTATACTTTAACATGTTTGTTTCCTTAGGGAGAATTTTCCCTATTTCCTGTCTCTGGTACAGCAAGGCAAGAAATGGGAGGTGCAGTTGGCACTGAGACAAAACAATAAAAGCCTTGCTAGACATGCTAATTCTTACTTTACCATAAATGTGCATGTTTTTTTTTCCTTCTCTGTGTTCTCCCCAGTGGTGTCACAGATAGCAACAGAAACCCAACAGAGTTTCTTATTCCCTTCCCTTCGCCTTATCCAAAACAAAATAAGGGCTCATGCACACATACTCAAAACAATGCTGCAATCAGATATGCCCCAATTTATTTCTTGTGGAGATGAATGCAGCTCTATTATAGGCAATGTGTCCATGTACATGGTGGAGTTTATCTTAATATTCTAGAGCTGCAGATAGGGAAGGAAAAAAATGCTTGAATCTTGCATTGGAAGAAGAGCCTATTCATGGCTTTTCTGCATATACATATATTAACATGTGCCTGTAAATCCATTTTTATGTGTGTAAATGCTGTACACACATAAACACAGGTACTTGCGCACCAGTACATGCATTTTTATGTTTTGTTTTTCTAACAGCAGGATCCTGCGTATTTGTGAGTAAATTAAAAACATCTGTGTGCATGAGCCCTAAGGCCCCTTTCACACAGTTGTTCCGTTTTTTTCATCTGTTCAGCCGTGTTTTTTCCAAGAAAAAAACGGATCAGTTCACGTCAGTGTTTCATCCCTTCACGTCAGTGTTTCATCCCTTCACGTCAGTGTTTCATCCCTTCACGTCAGTGTTTCATCCCTTCACGTCAGTGTTTCATCCCTTCACGTCAGTGTTTCATCCCTTCACGTCAGTGTTTCATCCCTTCACGTCAGTGTTTCATCCCTTCACGTCAGTGTTTCATTTCACGTCAGTGTTTCATCAGTTCACGTCAGTGTTTCATCAGTTCACATCTGTTCTTCATCTGTTTTTCATCCGTTCACGTCAGGTTTTTCATCAGCTTTAGATCAGTTTACATCTGTTTTTCATCCGTTCACGTCAGTTTTATGTCAGCTTTAGATCAGTTTACATCTGTTCTTCATCCGTTTACGTTAGGTTTTTTGTCCGTACATGTCAGGTTTTTCATCCGTTCACTTCAGTTTTACATCAGCTTTTCATCAGTTTACATCTGTTCTTCATCCGTTTTTCATCTGTTTACATACTTTTTTTTCATACGTTTTCCTCTGTTCATATCCATCTACATCTGTTTTTCATCCATTCCGGTTTTTTTTACAGAAGAAAAATAGGGTTTTCTTCCGTTGAAAAAAACGGATGTTAGTGAATGCGAACATTAACGGATGTAACAGGTGATCATCCGTTTACATTCGTTAGTCCATAGAAATACATGGGTGTCCGGTTTTCTTCTGTAAACGGACTGATGAAAAATGGACATAGGGAAGGCCCGTGTGAAAGGGGCCTAAATTTTTTTGGTTGGAGTTGGACTTTCTAAAACGATAGTTTTACATGCTATCCCCTACTGTAGCTGAACTTTCATACATTGGTAATGTATCCCATGTTGATGATTTAGCAGTCTAAACAGTGTTTCTTCCTTCATTTCAGATTGCTTAGCAGTGCAAGCTCCAGCCATTCCAGAGCATGTGCTTTCTTGTAAAGCATGACTTTACAAACAATTTCTGCTTCAGCTGGGACCAGCAGCATTCGATCAGTGTGTGGCTGTACTAGTTTGACAAAAGGTTTAACAATCAACCTTTGTCAGTCAGTGGCTACAGCCACTGATCAGTGTATTCTGACAGTGCTGGGTCCTACTGTCAGAATACAATGTTTTGGCTGGGGAGATTCCTCTATCCACGGACGAAATGGGAAAAAAAAAACTAGCCATCCATGGGCAGCTTTATAATGAATTGGGAAGACCAGAACAGGGGTGGTATACAAAGACTGACATTGTATTCCTTCTAAGTATTTCTGAGGGCTTTTGCTTGATAATTGGAATTGGTCTCTTTTAGTCATCACTCCCAGAAGATGACGGAGATTTGCCAATTTTATTAGAATTAACATTTAATCTATAAGAACTGAAAACGAATTATAATCTTTTAAAAGTAATTCCTCGTGCCTTTCTTGTATATACAGTTTATTCAGCAGTACAAGCACTACCAGTCCATTGTTGAGGTTTTCAAGCTTCAACCAGACAAATCAAACAAAGAGTTGGCAACGTTGGTCATGTTTATGGCACAGGTAAGTCTTCTATCGTAAAGTAAATAATGCAGTGCGCAAATACCCCACACTCTCATTGTGCAAAGCCGCAAACACACCCAGAGGATATCCGCTCTCAGTAACAAATAAAAATATAAATTTGTGTTGCGTTAAGTGTAAACAATCAATTACAAACAAATATGTTGATGATGTACATACAATGCTACATAAATAAATTCGTACTCAAATAAACATGAATAAAAAATATGTCAAAAACAGCCCATAAAAGTGTAAACCAGTCCCCTGGCTTCTGTGGTGAGTAGTGAGAAATCTTCATTCCAACATAACCACCAACGTGAATAGCCACCACTGTAATATCAAATCAGAGGCTTACCTGATCCTTAGACCCCCTTTTCTATAGGGGCTCATACTACGCTCAATGTATATATTCTTATCCAGACTCGTGTCTTTATGGAACCAAATGCACCGCCCGAAACTCATCAAGCCGTCCCGATGTTTAGGGTCAGTGTTTGTTCATGTAAAATAAAGAGGTGCCTCTCAGTGCAGTAAAATACAACTGGTTTATTAAGCAGACAAAAATGCACTTACAAATGCAAAGAATAAAAAGCGTCAGTCCACAAAGATGGTCCAAAACGGCGATCCAACGCCTTTCTAGCCCCGAAAGATGTCTGGTTATGATGAAACACATCGGGCGGAGCCTCCCTTCCGACGTCATCGCGTTGGATCGCCATTTTAGACCATCTTTGTGGATTGATGCTTTTTATCTTTTGTGTTTGTAAGTGCATTTTTGTCTGCTTAATGAACCGCTTGTATTTTACTGCACTATGAGAGGCACCTCTTTATTTTACATGAACAAACACTGACCCTAAACATCGAGACGGCTTGATGCGTCTTTGGTGGTGCATTTGGTTCCACATAGACACATGAGTCCGGATAAGAATATATACATTGAACGTGGTATGACCCCCTATAGAAAAGGGGTCTAAGGATCTGGTAAACCTCTGATTTGATATTACGGTAGTGGCTATTCACGTTGGTGGTTATGTTGGAATGAAGATTTCTCACTACTCACCACAGAAACCAGAGGACTGGTTTGCACTTTAATGGACTGTTTGTGATGTGTTTTTTTATTCCTGTTTATTTTTAAGTCTTCTATCATGTATTATGATATGAGCTTTTAACCTCTTCCTGCCAGCCACACTCATATATGCAGCTTCGCGGTGGGTGGGCTTTAACGCCAAGTGGCCACATATATGCGTCCCTATGTAAACACATTACTGCACTAAGAGTGTGCTCCCTGCACGCTTCCAGCACAGCAACCAGCGGGTACCGGAAAGCTCCCGATGCAGACTTGCAAGCTCTGCAGTTATGTGACTGCCAATCACAGTGGTCACAAGTTCGGAATGCCCACTGACATTTAGAACCTCCTAAGGGGCTGGGAGGCAGCGGTGGGAAGGGGTTAAGGGCTCATGCACCCAGATATAATGAAATACGCCCTATCCGTACAAACCTGGGAGCAAGATTCTGCATAAAATATTTCTGTAATGTTTACAGATTTCTGCAATGTTTACAGATCTACAACAAATGTGCACTATTTAATGCTAGCAGGTTTGAGCCGCCTACATCCTACTGCTAAAGACACTAGGTAGTTTGAGCAGCTATGGGTGGAATTAGTGCTCTGGCAGTTCTGCTAGAAATCCGTTTTCCATCCAGTTCTTTCTGAAAGCCAATGGTTACAGCTGTCCAATGGTTACAGCTGTTTCTGCTTGTGTATAATTTGAATAGCTCTTCCCACTGGCCATCAGGGCAGTCCTGATGGGTGATTGCAACACCCAACCATGTTGGCCTCTGCATCCCCTATATTTACATGTCCGCCCTGAATGAATGGGTTATTCATTGGTAGCCGTGCATGCGCATAATGACTGTCCCTGTTAATTGAGTTTCTCATTAATTCAGGGCTGAGCTGACATGTAAACATTAATTGTGCATAACCATTGGTGGCAGTGCCCACTGATAACACTGCTATTTACATGTCGGCCACTGCCCCTTAGCAACAAAGGATGTTAGAAGACTTGGGCCTCCTGCAGGGGCAGACTGACAACTCATGGGGCCCCCGGGCAATAGGGGATCATGGGGCCCCTGTGTCCTTGCCCAAACTAAAAAAAGCCTATGAAAAAGGTACCAGGGGCATCTCATGGGGCCCCCTACTGACCCAGGGCCCTCGGGCAGTGCCCGAGATTCCAAATGGTCAGTCCGCCCCTGGCCTCCTGCCTTCTAGCTCCTGCTGCCTATTATTCTTCACTGCTAGTAGGCAGGTGGCCAATAAAATGCATCTGTGTAAAATAATTTTTTTCCGGAGCATTTATTAAACAGCATTTGTAGAATGATACAAAGTATTATGCCACTATCAGTGAATCAGCTACATGTTTAATCCGGATGTAACACAGTACACAGGAAAACAAACCGACAATATATACTTGGCAATATCTCACTTGTGGATGCAAATATGAATATTCTCAAATTGCCAACCATTAGGCTCATATTTTTTTCAAATTTGTCCAGGCACCCTCTATGCTGATAGATAAATTGCTCTGTTCTACCAGTTTAAAGGCTTAGTTCAGCTTTGGAACATGTTACAAGACTGAGCCTTTGAGAAAGCCAATTCCGGTGGAACGTAAAGGTGGGTAGTGATGTCATCATGCTGGGTGGAGTCAACACCATGTTTGGATGCCGAATCTTCTAACACTGTTTTAGATGCCTATGGTTCTTTTAATACATGTGAGTGCATTTTCCCGTTTTTAATAAATAAAAAAGGAATGGCAAGTCTGCACTATTGGTTTTCTGTGCTTCCTTTATGCCACCCTCATCCCTGGGAGATTGGTGAACCACATTTCAAGAGGAGTGTGAGATAAACAGTCGATATATGCTAAAATGCGCATTTGTCCTTTGGTATGGTGGGGTCCATCAGACCAGGTGAGAAGACACCTAAAATGTGTGGTGAAGGGCACTTGTGATTTTTCAAGGTGGAGAATACATTGTGATTTTGGAATACTGAAGGAATGTGAAGGTGATCAAGAATCTCACAGGAAGATTGGATGGGAATACAAATTTTTTTTTAAGTTTGTTTTTCTTTTTTGAAGATTTAAACATATATTTGACTATATGCAGTTCAATATATCACCTGATTTTGTATTTATATTGTTAACTTGATATATTGATATTTAAGGAATAGAATTGTTTTGAGGAGGCACTTCATCTATTTGGTATATCGTTAAGGTAAAAAAATAGGTATAAAAATTGGAGTACAACAGCGCTAGGTGTCTAGTAATTATTCAAATAAATGAGTGTATGGATTATAAAGATAATTAGTTAAGCTGCTAGCATAGAAAGTAAACCTCAAAAAAACTTCGGATAATATGTCATAAAATATGCAGCGCTCATAAACAGGTCTCAAGAACCACAAAAACCTGATAACATACAATTGTTCTAAATTAAGTATACCATTGAATTACAGGAGTTGCAATTACAGGAGTTGCAATGGGGGCAAAGTTTGCGCCGAGCCTCGCTAATCTATTTATGGCTTATTGGGAGGAAGAGATCATCTACTCCAGGGATTGGCCACATCTGTGTTTATCTTGTCGATATATCGACGATATCTTCCTACTTTGGGATGGGGATGAATCCTCCCTTACAAATTTTTTCACAACCCTTAATTACAACACTAATAACATTCAATTGACTTTCCAATATGATTTCCAAGAAATTAATTTCTTGGATTTAAATATTTTTAATAACGGCACAGGGCTATCTACCAAAAAACTTTCTTTAAACAGACTGATCGAAACAGCTTTATTCCAACAAATAGCTGTCACCTCCCTAGATGGTTGAACAACATACCTAGGGGCCAATTCTTGAGGGTTCGTCGTAATTGTGATAATGTTGAGGATTTTATCCAACAATCAAATATCCTTAAAAAGAGGTTTGTGGAAAAAGGCTACAATGATAACACTCTACAGATAGAAATTAATAATGTTCAGAACACCAATAGAGAGTTGCTCCTGTCTACTGGGCAAATAAATAAAAACACAAATAAGGACAATAGGTTCTGTCCCTTTATCACCAATTTCTCTGCCCAACACAAAGATGTTGCCAAGATTATTCGAAAACATTGGTGTATTCTCAAAAGTGACCCAGTACTAGGTAGCTCGCTACCCAACCTACCAGAAATCACTTATAGAAGAGCTTCCTCTCTGAGGAATAAACTTGCTCCAAATGTGGTTAATCCACCGAGAAAGATTACGTTTTTTAATCGAAAAGGTTTCTTCCCATGCAACCGATGCATGTTATGTGTTTGTAATGGCGTTCACAAATCACCTATTTTTACCTTTTGTTCTCGCTCTACTGGCAAACAATACACAATAGACTCTACTATCACATGTAATAGCCTCCATGTTGTTTATCTGCTTGAATGTTCCTGCGGAAAACAGTACGTTGGCAGAAACTACCAGGAGATTGAGAGATCGGCTACGTGAACATCTCAAAAATATAAAGAAGGGTTTCAAAGAACACTCTGTATCTATGCACTTTCGCCAACAACATAACCGGGACCCTCATTCACTTAAATTTATTGGTATTGACATGGTCCATAAGCATTGGAGAGGAGTCCATAAACGTAGAGCAGTCTCTAGGTTAGAAACAAAATGGATCTATTTATTACGTACATCATCTCCTTTAGGCCTTAACATTGAGTTGGACATCAATTGTTTTATTGACACTAGTTAATCTACATTTATCTTAATTTTTTTAATATACTTTTTTTAGACATGCATTGCTGTCAGTTCGTTTTTTCTTGTGAGGTTTGGCTGCTTTATAATGTTTTTTATTGCCTTCCTTTTATTGCCTTCTATTATTATATTAAGTATTTTTACTACTGTAATATTTTTACTAGTGCAATCCGCATATTTTATATCTGTTGTTCCTATGGTCTTCTGATGCGTTTTGCCATGTGGATTTTATTCTATTCACATTTTATTACTGTCTATTCAGTGTTTTTTTATTCTTCATTGTCATTTAATCATATGTATTTAACTTTATGTATACTTTATGTATATATTGTGGTCACATGCGTTTTTGTATTGTTAGACGTTTGTCCATTATACCTTAGCATGACTCCACAGTTTGTCTTTGCTAGTAAGACTCAGGTACATATGGCGCAGTTTGGGAATGTTTGATATGCATGGTCGTGCTGCATATATGACGGGTTCCTTTATTAATTACTTACCCTATGTTCCTGCGTTATGCTTATATGTTTATTCACCGGTGTAATACCTGTGCGAATATTTTCCATCACAATAACATATATGCATATTAATTTATGTTATTATAGGCATTTTGTGAGCCATGTCCACAGAGGCATTTTTTATTTTTATAGTTATTTCCCCATGCTTTAACAACTATATACACTCTGCCCACAGGGTTAGTGTCCCCTTGTCCTCCAGTCACCCCCCCTACTTACCGTCATCTGCTCCACTCTTCATGGGGGACCCCGGGCTACTGAGGAAGTCACCAGGGTCTTCTCTGAAGCCCGCCTCACTACCTGCCCCCTAGACAGCTCGATCCTCCATCACTCCCCTCTTCCATCATCTGCTCCCTCACCATCAATCTTCAATTCTCCCTCTCTACCGGCGTTATTCCCCTCCCCCCTAAAGCATTCATACCCACTCTGGGCCAAACAACTTCAGACCCATCTCCCTGCTCACTTCCATTAACTGACAACAACCTCCTTGATCCACTACACAGTCCGGCTTCCGTCCCCCTACACTCCACCGAAAACCGCCCTCATATGGACACCGCTTGTTACTTTTACATCCCGACGCTGTCCTTGGAGACCCCTTCTCATCTCCATCTACACCTCCTCCCTTGGCAAACTTTACACCCTCCCCACGGCTTCAACTACCATCTCTATATGCTGATGACACTCAAATTTACCTCTCCACCCCCCCTCACCTCACCTCCACTTTCTCCGCCCGCGCATCACTCACCTCCTAAACGACATCTCTGACTGGATGTCGCTCATTTCCTCAAACTCAACCTCCCAAAACCGAGCTTCTCGTCTTCCCCTCCTGCCCGCGCCCCCCCCCCCATCCTATCCATCACTACTAACAAATTTCCTTGGGGTCATCTAACCTCTCCTTCCAACCTCATGTCAAATCACTGACAAACACATGCAGGCTCCACCTCCATAGTCCAAAATACGCACCTTCCTTACACCCAGACACCGCTAAACTACTTGTGCACCTCCCTGATTATCTCACGCCTTTATGACTACTGCACTTGAACTCCCTCCTCACCTACCCCAGTGCAAACTCTCCCCGCTTCAGACCATTTTTCAGCTTCATTTTTGCCATCTGCCTCTCCCTCCACTATGGCTCCCTATCGCCCAACGCATGTTCAAACTACTCACTCTGACCTAAAAAGACCATTCACAACACTGCCCCTTTTAACTACCTCATGATTAGCCTGATTCCCAAGTACCACCCTACCCGTATTCGCTCTTCACAGGACCTCCTTCTAATTATTGCTCCCTGCATGCATGCGTACGTCTGCAAGACTTCTCACAGGTCCTCCCCCATCCTCTGGATTCACTACCCCAATCCATCAGACTGTCACCTTCCCAGAATCCTCACCTTCAGGCGCTCCCTGAAAACCCACCTCTTCAGGGAAGCCTACCCCACCTGTCACCCTAACTGCTGCTCTCCTTTCATTCCTCCTACCACTCCATCCCCCACAGCCACTTCCTCCTGTACCACTACCCCCTCCCTCCAGATTGTAAGCTCGAAAGAGTAGGGCCCTCTTACCCCTCGTGTGCTGTTCGTAGCTGCTGTAAAATTTCATGTATTAGTCCCCCCCTCTATTGTACAGCGCTGAGCAAACCCTTTGGCGCTTATATAAACTCAATGTAATGTAATAATGTAATAATGTCCACAGAGGCATTTTTTTTTTTTTATAGTTATTTCCCCATGCTTTAACAACTATATACACTCTGCACACAGGTTTAGTGTCCCCTTTCTGCCCAATTGCATGCTAATGGCTCCACATATATTTGATTGTCCCCATCTGTATCCCTTAACATGGGTTTCACCTTCTTCTGTCCATCTGCATTGTTCCTCAAGAAAATGGCCGCCGTATGAGCGTACTGCGCATGCGCGGCTTTACCGCAATGACGTCACCGGTGCGTACTGCGCATGCGCACCGCGGATTATAAAAATGATCGATTTTCATGCAATGCACCCCCTTTGAAAACGTGTGTGTGACACGAAACGCGTCAGAGAGGTGCCCCCCCACTGTCTGGACATATCTTTTAGCTGCCCCTTGTTCCTGTGACCTTTATTTGTAAGTGTGGTTTTTCTTATCATTGTGAATTACTACATAATAAATGCAATACTACACTATCAAAGCTTCTGGCCTGTGGCTCTCTTTTTTGGAGGGAGCCTGGGCTTTTTGAAGGTGCCTGGTTCCTCTTGGTCTCCTGTGTGTTGCTGGCTGGCTTGCTGGATTCATCTCCTTATTGGCTGATGTGCATCTCTGGAATCATCGTCCTGCTGTCCTGGGAACATGACATCTAGTGGCGAGATATCAGATGACATCATCCCTTCCAGTGGCTTCCTTTCAGAGTACCAGGAGTAGGTCTTAATTACTCCATGCTCCATGTGCTGAGATATCTGGTTAGTGCAAACTTCTTTCAGCTTGTCCAACACAAGAGTCACGAAACTTTTTTCCGGTTCTCCAACCGTGGATGCACCACAGAAGTCACGAGTTATATATGCTTTATATTCAATGGTATACTTAATTTAGAACAATTGTATGTTATCAGGTTTTTGTGGTTCTTGAGACCTGTTTATGAGCGCTGCATATTTTATGACAAGGTAAAAAAAATGTCCACCTTTAGAACCATGTACTGTATGTTGTCATTGAGGTTGACTAGAATAAAAGTAGGTATAAAACATAAACTGTATGCCCTTGTAGCTAGAATGCTAATCACCTATGTTTGTTTTTAGACTGCTCACTGCTATCCACAACATCTGGAAGACTTTCCACAGCAGCTAAAATCTATACTGTCTACACAGCATACAGTAATGGATTCAGACCTCAGAATGGTAATTATTTTTTACTTAAAGCAGTGTTAATTCCAGATCTGGCCTAGATTTGTACTTTGCCATGATCTAGGACCATTTACCTAAATCATCTTGATCTACTGTTGATATTAAAGCTGGACCCTTTAAAAGGAGTCCTCACCTTAGAATTTGCCCTCACTCAGCAGTTTCTCCAAGTCAGCTAATTTTTAGTGATTAGCTAACTGAATATTTGTCCCGGATCGATTTTCCTGGTACATCTGTCAGTCAAATACGGGGGTTGGCTCTGGTATATATCACAACAGCATGTTGATATTCTGGCAACGTACATAGAAAGAAGCACGGTGAAACCCTTATTTAAATATAACTATCCATATAAAAGAATCCAATATTGCATGTGCCACTTTTATTACTGGCGGGGAGGGTCCTCTGTCTGGGGAATGTCTGTGCATTAATACACGTTATTTACTCAATTTATTGCTTTTTTTTTTTTGTAGACTCTTTGCAAAGCTCTGATAATGTTAAGGAACAAAGATTTAATAAGCCCGGCAGTACTTCTTGAGCTTTTCTTCGAGCTTCTCAGGTGCCATGATAAACTTCTAAGGAAGGTAAAGCTATTTGTCACTTGAGATTTTAATGTTGTTTTCCTGTCATCAAAAATGTGTGCCAATCAGGTTAAACTCTTACAACTTTTTGACACCAGCAGCTGTGCTAATCTCACAGTTGCTTGTGTGCTCTGGGAAGAATCTGTGCAGATGCTCCAAGCACAGAGCATCACGCTGTTGTTAGTATTTCATTGAAATGTCACAAGTAACATTTTGTTAAAGTCGTTGTAAAGCTTAATTTTTAAATAAATTAAAATAACAAACTTGTCTACCTGCTCTGTGCAATGGTCTTGCACAGAGTAGCCCTGATCATCCTCTTCTGCGGTTTCCCGCTGGCAACTCCTATCCTCTCCCCGTTGCTGAGTGCCCCCGAGCAAGCTACTTGCTCTATGGGCCCTCGTGCGTGCGTGCTGCTTGCTTCCGAGCCAGTCCTGTATGTCCATAAGACACGCAGAGTGTGGATTTCCCCGCCCCCTGCTCCCTCTTCATTGTTGATTGTTAGCAGCAGGAGCCAGTGGTTCAGCCAATTATGTGTCTCGGCCAACGAGGAGTCCGAGACCCGGTATAGCCGAGGCTCCGGTGCATAATGCTGAATCACGAACAGGCTTTGATAAGTATTAGGGGGGCTGAGGGGGAGCTGCACACTGAAGGTTGTAGGTACTGTGAATATTTCCTATACATGCACCATTTAGGACATATTTACTTTAGCAGCACTGGTGATGTCACTGGTGCTTGAGCACTGCATTCTCAATAGATGATGTTCCATCCTTTGAGAGATCTATGCTGTGGGTGAATGACGTCACTGCAGCTCGGCCAGTCAAACGACTGCAGCCTGCGAAGCCGGAAGCACTCTGTGAAGATGGAAGCGACAGCGCTCTGCTGGAGTGGAGGGCTTTGTTTTCAGGTAAGTCTTTCATAATGTGCTAGTATGTGATGCATACTAGCACATTGTGCTCTTTACTTGCAGGGAGAAGATCTTGTTTTATTTTTTGCGGTTTTACTATCGCTTTAAGTTCAATTCACCACAGCAACATTGCAGTGCGGTAGTTTGCGTTACATCCTGCTGTGCTGTACAATATTCTTCAGCGCTTACTTCTGAAATGCAGTGGTGTGAGCTGGCACCATAGATAAAAAGGCAACCTACCTTGTCTTTGCATTCGGACTGCACTGGGAAGCCTTTCCCAATGTAGATGGGAAAAGTTTTGTAATTTTTTTTGTGGACATTTTTATATTAGGATCTTTGTGATTTTTTTTTTTTTTTTTACGTGGACTTTCTTTACATTGTTATTTGGCAAGGTATTGTCTCCTATATTAAGTGCAGCACATTGTTGTTTACTGAATGTTTTATTTGATGAACACTATCACATCTGTGTCTTCATGGTACATTTGTATCTGTTTTATTTATTTTTTTTTTTTTTTTAGACTTTATATACTCACATTGTGACTGACATCAAGAATATAAATGCAAAACATAAAAACAATAAAGTGAACAGCGTAAGTACTTTTGTGCAGTGGACTAGCATGCACTTCTGTTGTGAGCAATGATCTAACTCCATTTATTGTATTATCCAGACTCTGCAGAACTTCATGTATACAATGCTCAGAGACAGCAATGCAATAGCAGCCAAAATGTCATTGGATGTCATGATTGAGTTATACAGGAGAAATATCTGGCAAGTACAATTCCTTCTTTTCATTGTTAAAAACTGTTTTGTTTTCATATTTGTGTATATTTACAGGACATAACTTTAAATGTTAATTCATATAAGAAAATCATTACAGGGCTCACTTTTTCTCCAGTCTTCATCTAAAAGCAGACCTTTACCACCCAAACACAAAATTGAACGGTGCCGGTAGCACTGTATGCCTATCTCGAAATGTTTTAAAAGTTATTTTGAAAATCAAATACTTTTTCATAAACTTTTTTTTCCTTCTACCTCTTGGTTTCCTTGAGGTACCGATGAGATAGCCCCAGACTTACAGGTACCCTCTGGGAAGACTACGTCACTAGTACCTCAGGGAATTCTGGTCTAATCTCGCTCATGACACTGTACAAGATCTGGGGTGGTCTATTATTGAACAATAACAGACTGAGTCAGATCTCCTATGGAACGTGTCATATGTGATGTGGAGCGTGTGCTGTAAGTATACTTATTCTTCAAAAACAAGCCGCTCCAGATTAGGTATAGCACATGTGCCAGATCTCATACAGCGCATGATCTTAACAACACACAAATCTGGCAAGAAAGACTCGACTCGTATTATAAGTGTGGAGAGGGCGTAGGTCCTCTATAGTGGTTATCAGTGCTGGGAGAAATTAATGCGGTGTTAGTCATTGATATGGAATCTGTCAGATGAACTCAAAACTACTGATAGACATGTTTGTGTCGGTCATAATCACGGGAAGTATTAAAGCAAGAGGGTAAGCGTGAGGGCTTAGTAACTAGAACTTTTTTATGCCGTTTTTTAAAATACCAAATTTCAACAAAATAATTGCTTTCATAGCAAGCTGAACTTTATGCACAACCGTATTCTCTGTTTTATATTTGTCAGATTTTGCTTCCAGTCATTGATACAGCTGGGCTCTGCTAGTCTGTTGGGTGCTACAGCAGTTTGATGGGCTGCTATAGCTGTAATTTTATATAGGCTCGCTAATGTAAATGTAATATGGACATTGTTAAATTGTGTACTTTTTGTGTCATTTTTCCTTATAGGAATGATGCCAAAACCGTCAATGTGATTACAACTGCATGCTTTTCCAAAGTAACCAAAGTAAGTAAAAAGTAATTAGCCATTTGCATCTTAGTGAATTCCTATATATCATGATAGTGACGGTCTGGTCTATGCAGTTCAGTTTTGGAAATCACTTAAAGTTACAGCCATTAAGAAAATTCATTTAACCTCCCTGGCGGTATTCCCGAGTGTAGCTCAGGGTAAAGTTTCAATACCACAAGCGGTAACCCCGAGCTACACTCCGGAATACCATGCGGCGCTGCTCAGCGATCCCTCGATCAATTACCTTGTCCTGCACTCCCACGATGTCCCTCCTGCAGTGTCCCCGGCAATGTAATCCGGCGGATGCCGGCATCTGTCATCTGGGTTCCGCCCCCTGCGAGTGTCAGGATGTACGGGGACAGAACGGCGGGAAATTTGAAAATGACAAAAAGTGACATTCACTAAAATCACTAAAATAGCATAGTAAAACATTACTGTATCAAAGCATTTCACATACATTTTGTCCTGTGCCCTGGCTGCTTTTTTACTGTGCTTTCTGCCTGGAAACTGAGAAATGTCCATGGTGTCCAAAAAGCGTCCCTTTTAGGTCAAAAGCGGTTTTAGATCAGCTAGAGAACAGTGATAGTAAATCAGAACCACTTGCAGAATTGAGTGATAATGATTCGTGGGGAAATTCGTCATCAGACACTGAAAACGATTTTGCAACTTTGCTCAGTAATGTGCGAACCTATTTAATTGTTTTTGGTTTGATTATATTATTGAATTAAATTTATTATTATAATTATTTTTTTTATGATTATTTATTAAATTATAATTTATAATTTCGTGTTTCAAGTTTTATCCTACCCGGGATGTTTTGTTCGGACAGATTTCAGTGAGTTATTCCTAAAAATTACAGGCCTACAATAAAAAAAAACATATTTCCATGCAAAAAAATGTACCGCTTTGAGCACAGAAATACTGACATAATCAGACCGCTAGGGAGGTTAATTTATGAAAGAGACAATGAGAGCTTGGCCAACCTAATTTTTCTTGCTGTCTGTGTTCCCGCTTTGGAAATTTACCCTCTCTGCTGGTCCTGGTGAGCACTGCCACCAAGACTGAAAGTGATGGTAAATTTTACAGTTGTCACCAGAATGGAGGGGAGAGGGGAAATCTTCGTGTTGGGAAACCTGCCCCAATGACAAGAGTCTAAAAGGGGAGACTTAGGAGAGATGTCTTCTCTATATCTTGTGTCTCTGGGACAGAAAGTGAAGGGAATTCTCTCCACTATGATGAAGTAAAAATAGTGATTTAACCAATCCCTACTTTTTCCAAGAAATAAAATGTTTGGATGCTATATAGTCTTATAGTTTTCCAAAAAATAGCCATTTAGGTTCTTGTAGCAAAACTGCCTTTTTGCTATGCAACCTTAAAACTGCTATTACAATTTTAAAAGTGTAAATTTATTGTTCTGTGTGGGGCTGTCTTCCTCCATTGGTGTTTATTCATCCTTTTTTATGTGGTCTTGCAGAATAAAGTGCCTGAAACTGGAGTTCATGTAGAAATCCCATTATTTTCTGATTCACATCTATGTGGAAACTATAGGGGCCAACACTTGTGACAGGTGTGAACGAGTACTTAAACTACAACTGAACATGTATAATAGGCACTGTAAAATGAGGATATCTTAAACTTGACTGGCGACAGCTTCAAATTGCCTCTGAAAGTCCCATTAGTAATGTGTTAATGCAAACTCTGTATATGTCCGTGTCTGCATAGGCTTATCTTGGAGCTGAAGCTTCTGATGCCAGGATTGCAGCACTGTGAAATTTTGGTGTAGAGGATCTCAAGTCAAGGCTCCATACTTTCAGTATCTCCATGGACATGAAGACAAGATTTATTCACTATGCCCTGTGCTTTGTGACCTTTGCAATAAAATTAAAGTCTTGCGTTCTAAGATCTAAACTACAGGTTTAGTTTAAAAGCATCACAGTAGAGCAATTAGACTAGAGGTTACAAGGTGTACATTCTACCTTGGCTAATTATTTCATAAAGTTGTAGTATAACATTGCCTATATTGTCAAGGCAGTCAAACAAGTAATAACCTGCCAGTGTTTGTGTTGTTGGTCCTGTCTGAGTTCTGCTTTGCTAAATTACAACCTTACATCCCTCCTAATCACCATAGGATAAATGGGAGGTGTTCTGGAATCCAATAGGGGAGAACTCAGACAGGCTGACAATACTGCTTGGGATTTCAGTGCAGCAAAAACAGCATTGTTGGCTCACTACATGAAAACTCGGAGCTCGCTGGAACTCTGGCAGGACCAACAGAAATTTTTCTGTAACTGTAATGGGTTTACAATGTGTGTGTGTGCTGTACTGCAGAGAACTAGTGAATTTTTTTTTTCCCCCGGACATACATAAATTGTTGCTGTCCAAAGTACTAATTAATATTGCTGTTTTCTATATTTTTATGTATAAATAGGTGTGCTTAGTATACAAATATATTTTCATTGACTTTCCTTCTTACTAGATATTAGTTGCTGCATTGCAGTTCTTCCTAGGAAAAGATGAGGAGAAGAAAGACAGTGATTCTGAGTCAGAGGTGAGTCTCTTGTTCGTAAGAATTTGCTGCATTTATGAGAAGGGATTACATTAGCAGCTAAAATAAGCATTGTGTCCAGTTTTTTGGAGGTTTCATTTTTCATTTAAGGATGATGGTCCCACTGCTAGAGATCTGATGGTGCGATATGCCACTGGAAAAAAGAATACGAAGAGCAAGAAGAAGCTTGAGAAGGCCATGAAAGTCTTGAAGGTATATCTAGTAGCTCCTTGTGGCATCATAGTGTTGTGTACATCAGTTTTTTTTTTACAGATTACAGAATTTCCATAGTTTGATCCCTGCCAAACAAAAATGACCTCTGCAAAGTAAGGTTAATAATAGTCAATTAATGCACATTTTAAATTTTTTTTTTAAAGTGGGTACATTTTGATACATTTTTGCAAAAGGCGGACTATGCCTTTTTAATGTTGTTGTTTTTAAAGAAGCAATCGTAATTCAGCCATGGCACCGTTTAAAAAAACAAATGCACGTTTAATTCTTTACTTTAAGTCATACAGGAATAATCAACCCAGCTAAACTCCATATTAATACATATCATGATCATTGAACATGGTGCAGTCGTGGAAATTAAACAACCACTAAAACACAGAACTGAGCAATAGTCAGCAACACCTTTAAAGTACAGGACTAGATGTGTAGAGGAAAGCAATCACATATAAGAACATTATGACCACATGTACTAAAAATAACTGGCTGAGGTATATCCTGAATTACCATTTAAATACAGAGAAAAAAATTAAAGGGAAGGAAAAAAAAAAAGAGTCTTGATTGGACTAAAGGAAGAGAAAGGGGAAAGAGACATGGGAGGAAATGGGAGCGGGTGTATGTGTGTGTGTGACCAAGAAAACTCCAGGTGGAGTCCCTGCTCTCTGTAGATGGTTTGGTTTATGGTTTCATGACTAAGAGCCCATAATATCACAGTATTCAGGTGAACACGTAATCTTGGTCTAGAAGTACCACATTTTAGGGAAACCATCTTCAGCTTAATTTTGATAATAGCGAACCAAAAACTGATGGGAGAAGCTTTGGACAAAGGGAGTACAGTAAATATATAAAGTTCAGCTTCTGTCCCTGATATCCAGAATACATCAGGGACAATAGATGTTGCAAGGTTACAACATTGTGCAGGATACTCAAAAAGGTGATTTTAGTACTTGGCTGAAAATTCTGAATTCCCTATACGTTAATATAATCTTGTGTTCTTTTTTTTTTTTTTTTTTTTTTTTTTTTTCAAAGAAACATAAAAAGAAAAAAAGACCTGAGGTGTACAACTTCTCTGCAATTCACTTGATACATGACCCTCAAGGTAATAATGTGTGGCAATTCTTTTAACCACCTCAAGTCCGGACACTTTCACCCCCTTCCAGTCCAGCTTTCAGCTCTATCACACTTTGAATGCCATTTGTGCAGTCATGCAACACTGTACCCATATGTAATTTTTAGCATTTTTTTAGACAGATAACACTTTCTTTTGGTGGTATTTATTCACCACTGGGATTTTCATTTTTTTGCTATATAAATGAAAGACCATTTTTACATTTTTATTTTATTTTTATTATATTTTTTGTTTACATACTGTCAACCTAGCAGTACTGTGTCACCAGAGTGGTGAAGATTTTTTTTTTTTTTTTTTTACACTGATTGCTTTTACACCCATAAAGGCTGTAAAAGCAATCATTCCTGCAGCCATTGAGAAATACTATGAGAGCTGTGTTTGGTCACAGCTCCCAGGGAAGCGCGCACAGGCAATGGATTGGCAGCGCTCCCGTCCGGCCGTTTATCAGAATGTGCCAGACGGGAAGGGGTTAACTGAGGTTTATTTTCATTTATATATATATATATATATATATATGTATGTGTGTGTATGTATAGATTTAGGCTTATTCGGTTTTATGCCGTTTTATTATCTTGCCATGCTAAGTGAGCATTAAGTATTAACCTGGACTGACCTGTGTTTAGAAAGGTTTGTTGACAGCATATCATTTTTTTTTTTTTCTTTCAACTTACAGGCAATAGATTCTGGTTGATGCCATTTTTACTGAATGTTATGTAATTTCTTCGTTACATGCTGTAATTAAAAATGAAAAAAAAAAAATATCATCCTTTACATATACAAATATGTTGACCGCTAGGTCCTGTGATGTTTGCAGTTTCTGGTACCCACTTATTATACACAAAGTTTTAAACATTATAATATAATATACATTTTTTTAAATTATTATTATAAGAAAACATATCCATCGCCAGAACATCCTGGTGTTGACTGCTAATGGGAAGGAAGGTCATAAGGGAATAACTGATTTAGTGGTATTTTAATTCTTACTTATGTTCCAACTTTGGTGCCTAGGAGGCTGCAATTCAGGAATGGGTGTGGTGATTATTTTAGGGACCGTACCATGGTTTTTATAGAGTATTTGCTGTATAATAAATCTTTTGTGTATAATAAGTTGAGGATCAGTTTCTGATGTATGCACTTTTTTTTTCAAATTGGCTTGTTGAGGCTCAGAACACAGGTCTTCCTTCCTTCTTTCTTTTTTTTTTTTTTTTTTTTTTTTTTTTTTTTTTTTTTTTTAGCCTTTTCAAAGTCATTGAAAAGATGCAATTAGAAACTTCTCCCATTATCTTACTCATATCCAAAATCAACTTAATGTCTGACTCAAATGTCACTTTATGCAAAGGACATTCCTCCTGAGACCCAATGGGTAAGGAGAATATGGCAACTTGCTGACGTGACAAGATCCTTAGGCAGTTTAACACCAATGTAGTTTTAATGTAACTTGGTACATTGCAGTTAACGTATATCAGTGTTTCTTAGCTTAAAGGGGCAATAGGTTCACAAACTTAAGGTTGCAGGAGTGTAACTAAAAATAAATTGGTGAATGTAACAGCTGCGAGTATCTTATTAGAGTGTATTAATTATAAAAATGTATCTAAAACTAGCCATGTCATTTGGCTTGGGAATAAAATTGTCGTGGTTAAGAAGGTACATGGATAGTTTAGATAATTTCTTGCTAAACATGTTTGTTTCATGTTGATAGGCAAATTCATCTTTAGTAATACAGCTTGTTCGGCTTACCAAAACTGTGGTTTTTACCTTCTTGTTCACACCATTGATGCAGTTAGATAGCCTGATGCTTATCCAGTGTAATGTGTATGTGTAATATATATATAAAATATATTTCTTTAATTTTTTTTTTCCAGAGTTTGCAGAGAAACTGCTGAAGGAGTTGGAAAACTCCAAAGAAAGATTTGAAGTTAAGATCATGCTAATGGACCTCATTTCCAGACTCGTTGGGATCCATGAGGTAAATTGGTAAAATACAATGTTAAAATATGACTAGCATTATGTGAAAAAATAGTCCTTTGACAAGATGCGCCATTTGTTTTATTAGAGTAAACCTATAAGGGACACCAATGTACCTTTTTGGTGCATGTAAATACCTTTAGTAAAATATATAAAAAAAATAAATAACAATGAATTTTTGAGCACTTTATACATGGGGCCTCTGTTTCTCCCTGATTTGGAGCTAAGCAATTCAGACATCAAGGACTTGTAATTTTTTTTACACCTTGCCTCCACCGTACACTGATATACCTTGCTGATGATTTGATGACTTAAAGCAAGGCTCGTATGTGCTTCAGAAAAACTGCTGACGAACCTCTAGATTACCGTTAAAAGAGAAGCATGGTTTTTTTTTTTTGTTTTGTTTTTGTTTTTTGCCTAGTTCTAGTACTTACATCTAGGTGGATGCAGTATTGGTCCGATGCTGCATCTGTCTCCCTCCGGCTGTAAGTGTGAGAGCCTGAGCCAGGTGCTGCTCCAGACTCTGGGGTGGATCCCAACTTTAAAGTCGGGATCTTTCCCCAGCCTGGACCAGCTGAGTGACTTCAGCTCACTGTCAGCTGAAAATGCAGAACCAACTGCAATGCTAGGATTGACAGAAGTACAGCCAAAAGAGCTTTGGCTATACTTCTTCTTTTAATGTTTTTGATTTGGATGTGTGTATAATCTTACTTCGTAAATGATATGTGAAGTTCAGTGACCTTGCCAGCAAGTCAAATTTTACTTTACAGGGTCATTGAACATTGGCTTCAAGTTAGTTTGCAAATTGTTTATTTTCTTAACTGTATTAAAATACTAATGATAGTCAAGAAGCATAAATGTTTATTATTGCTTGTCATGTTTAAAAAGTGATTAGGACCATTGATGGATTTCATTACATTTTCTTCAAACACAGATCTATATGCAGGCCTGTGATCGGTGGTTTTTACTACTGTAGCTCTATTTTGCGCGTTACGATATTGCATTTTCTGGTGTTTTATATGGTCATCGGTTTAAAATGGTGTATGGGGGCACACATTTTCTAACACATCTGCATTTTTTTACACAGCTATTTCTTTTCAACTTCTATCCCTTTATACAAAGGTTCCTACAGCCACACCAGAGAGGTAAGTTTTTTTTTCATTTTATTTTATGACCACAAGGAGTTTATCTGAATTTAAAAGGCCTCTGTACACCAACAAATGTATCATGCATTGGGGATTTGTGCTTCAAAATGGCCACCATGCTTGAACTATCATATTTTATATATTTTTTATTGATGTCAGTTTTATGAAAAATTGGATTGTTTTGCAGGCTCTCTGCCATGTGTTTTCTGTTTATGGAAATTTAATTTCTTGTTTGTATTAAAACTTTTTGAAATGTACCAAATAAAATGTAATACATAGTAAAAAAAAATTCACTGTTTCAGTATAGATACAATACTTCCACATACAGTATATCCAAACATTGCAGCCAGCAAATGTGCTCAAGGGTAATGATTCTGAGTACAAATAGATGAAGTAAACAAAAAACAAGGTTTGCTCATTATTGATAGACGTTGAGCATTATTAGAAATTATTAATCACTTGAGCTCTGGAAAATTTTACCCCCTTCATGACTAGGGCATTTTTTTTGCTGTTCGGCACTGCGCTTCTTTAACTGGCAATTGCGCTGTCAATCCACGATGCACTGTATCCAGATTAAATTTATGTCATTTTTTTCACGCAAATAGAGCTTACTTTTGGTGGTATTTGATCACCACTGGGTTTTTAATTTATCATATAAATGAAAAAAAAAAAACGACTTTTGAAAAAAAATATTTTTTTACTTTCTGCTATAAAACATATTAACAACCAAAAAAAATTTAAAAAAAATCAAATTTCTTCATAAATTTAGGAAAATGTATTCTGCTACATGTCTTTAGTTAGAAAAATCCCAATAAGTGTATATTATTTGGTTTGCATGAAAATTATAATCTCTAAAAATGATGGTGTGTGTATATATATACTGGAATATTTATTTATTTTATACTAGTAATGGCAGCGATCAGTGACGTTTAGTGGGACTGTGATAGTGTGGCAGGAAATCTGATACTAACTGACACTTTGTGGAAACTGACGTCTCCAGTGACACTAATGTAGTGATCAGTGCTAATATACAATGACACTGGCTGGGAAGGGGTTAATATCTAGGGGCAATCAAGGGGTTCATTTTGTGCTGCTTTTTACTGTGGAACTATTTTGTTTATTTTCCCACCTTCGCAGGGAAAAGAAACAAAGCAATCTTCTCCTCTGTACAAGAGCCCTATGTTGAATTCCAGCACATAGCTTTGGGCTGTGATTCGACGCAGAAAATCAGCAGGTCCTGGCCATGAATCATTGGCCGGGATCAGCTGACAAACTCCTGCTGTGTCAAATCGCAGGGGAGTAGGTGGGGGTGCATGTGCGCATATTCAGCAACATACAGGTACATTGCTGTGCCTGTAGGAGCTGTATATGTACTGTGGCGGATTGGCAAGCGGTTAAAGTGTATGTAAACCCTCACCTTGTAAAACAACCCATTCAGTTTAAAATAGAAATGAAAGGGAAAAAATTGTGTATAGATATTAAAAAAATTATAAACATGTTTTTTTCCCTTTTTTTTATATGCGACCACATTCTCTCTGTTCTCAGCTTCATAAGAACCTGGGGAGGAGAAACAGCAGCACACTGAACTTCTCTATGAATGGCTGTGCAAGGGTGGGGTTTGTCAGGATAAGTCTCTGATGATTATACTGAGTTCCCAGAATAGCTAGACCATTGTGTTTTCTCCTGCTTAGTGTGGTCAGTTTTTAACAGGAAAGCAGAGGGACTGGCAGGAACACCAGGGATTTCTCACATGGGAAGTAATACAAAGAGAAAAGGATTTTTTTTCATATAAGTACATGGTATAGCAGAAACATATCAGGAATATGAGAATCTGGGCTTACATATTCTTTAAGTATATGCTATTCCAAGATTGAGTTTTTGAATTTCCTGTGAACAGCAGAATTGATGTCCATTATTAGAGCTGTTTGCTCAGTGTATAAAACTCCACATTAGTAAACAATGTGGAATGCCATTTCAAAATTGAAGTTCTAACTAAAGCCCCCAGAAATCAGTTCTTTAACTTTACGCTGAAAAAATGAAAGCAGTGTGAAGAATGGTGAAGGATTCAGAAGCTCAGATGTTTTCTTTATTAAGCTTGCCTCTAAATCAGCAAGTCTTTACTCAGTGTTAGATTTATTGTAAAGTACTGTCCTGTAAATGAAATACCAGTACCTCTTCCTTACTTCTAGTCTCTTCCACTTAAACTCCTGTTGGAAGCACCAGAGAGACCATCTTCTCTTTTGTTGTGGGTTAAATCTCTTACTACATTAACACGATTTACCACTGATGAGGCAGCACTGATTAAAAAACGTACATCTTATATGCTAGTTTTCCATTTAGAAAAAGCATTAATATGTACAGTAAAAAAGGAATTTAGTGGTACCTGATTGTTGCCGGTAAATTTATCGGTTCCACCTTCATAAATGTTAGCTTAGCCTACAAAAAGGTTCCTCTTCCCTACACCAAATGTCACATTTTGTCAAGTTGATGCGGCTGTGTGGAGCTTTGCCTGCACAGCCACGTCATTCATTCACAGAGATCTGTGAATTAATAAATTACAAGTCCTGTCTTGCACACAAAGGTAGATGAACTTGCTCTCAATGTACTGCAAGGGTGCGAATCAGTGCACTTGTAGTCCATTGTCTCTTCCTTCAGCTCAGTAACTGACAGCAGTACAGGCAAAGAGTTGTATGAAGTGTCTGCTGCAGCCTGACATTGCACCCATAATTCACTGATCATGGGTACATGCTTTGCAGGCAAAACAAACAAAAAAAACAAAACACTTTTTTTTTTTTACCTGCAAAAACATGTACATTTATTATGTTAGCAAAGTTGAATGTAGCCTGTACAATTTATAGGTAGTCTGCTTTTTGAATACTATGCTGACTAGGTTGGGATGTATCCTGGACTAATTCCCACTTTCATCTCATTCAGAGGTAACCAGGATTCTACTGTTTGCTGCACAAGCTACTCATCACTTGGTTCCTCCTGAGGTAAGCTGATATTGTCCCAATACATGTTGGTGAAATGTCTCTACGTATATTGAGCCTGTTACCCCAATGTGTGAATGCAGATCATTTTCAGAGGAAATCCACATTTTTATATATATCCCATACAATCAGGCTGTTTGATGTAAATGTTTCCTTTTTTTCTTTTATGCAGCATTATAAATATACCGTATATGTAGCCCCTAAAATATATAATACATACTCTGAAAATAATTTCTATACACCTAGTGGTGTCACATTTTGCAATGTGGTCAAAATATAGTTCTAAAATGTATTGTGTTAACCACTTCAATACCCGGCACTTTCACCCCCTTCCTGCCCAGGCCAATTTTCAGCTTTCAGTGGTGTTGCACTTTGACAATTGCGCAGTCATGCAACACTGTACCCAAACTAAATGTTTACCGTTTTGTTCACACAACTAGAGCTTTCTTTTAGTGGCATTTAAACACCACTGGAGTTTTTTATTTTTTGTTAAATAAACAAAAAAAGACCAAACATTTTTACTTAGTTTCTGTTATAAAATTAAATAAGTAATATTTCTCCTTCACTGATGGGCACTGATAGGCAGCACTGATGGGCATTACTGATGGAGGAGGCACTGATAGACAGCACTGATGGGTACTGATTGAGCTGCACTGATGATCAGTGTCCTGATCATCATTGTTAATGTACCCTGTCACACTGACCCGTTACCGGCTCGCCACTCCTCACAATGTGACAGCATGTGAGGAAAAGACTGCCGATAACCATCCCAGCAACTCTGTTTACAATGTAATCAGTTGTAATTGGACACAGCTGATCACGTTGTAAAGGGACGCTGTTATTGGCCCTTTACCGTGATCTGTAATCAGCGGTGTCTGAAGGACACCGCGATAACAGCGCGATGGATGCTGCGCGCCCCAGGGGGCTTTGTTCTGGGAGGACGTCTATAGGTGCCCTCCCAGAACTGGCCGACTGTGCTGTAGCAGTCTTTTGGCTATAGCATGGTCAGGAACCAGTTAAAGCAGTGCACTAAAATTACCCTATGTCTATATTATCAATTTTGTTCAGGTTCTACATGTTTTGCTTTGGTAATTATCCAGGAAACTAGATAGAGTTAACAATGTAATGCTATGTCTAACTTACTGCTTGACTTTAACAATTCCAGATTGCTCAGTCAGTGTTGATGACCGTTGCAAATAACTTTGTTACAGACAGGAACTCAGGAGAAGTGATGACTGTTGGGTAAGTACAGCATGTAGCCTTGATTTTGTAATTCTCGTTTTGTTGGGTAATATTCCCTTTTTCTCCTAGTTTTTATGTGATATCTTATTTTGTCTTGCTGTCAGAGAACAGGCTCTAAGTAAAATCCATTTTTTCAAATGTTTTGGAAACACAGCAGAGCTTTGTAATGAAAAAAAAATACATTCTCTGCTTCTGTGGGCTTTACCCCTGTGCAGTAGAAGAGAACACTCAGTTTTAGTTTGTTGTCCTAAGGCAGGGTTTCTCAACCAGGGTTCCGTTGAACCCTAGGGTTGCTCCAGAGGTTGCCATGGGTTCCTCAGACAATAAGCCATTCTGCCTTTCAGATAAGTAACCACTGACACCAATAATCTTTTTAGCTATCTTTTAGTATATCTGTAAATATTCCCAGTGACCATCATAAGGAGCACTTTTCTCACCGAACATCACACCAATGTACTGTGAGTTGTAAATATAATTATTAACAGGGGTTCCCTGAAGCCAAAAAGCTAATTTAAGGGTTCCTGTATATTTAAAATTTTGAGAGAGGCTGTCCTAAGGTGTAAAGATGTAGGGCATCATGGTCTAGGTTCAGGGTCAGGAAAGAAGGGATTTTAGGCAGATGGTTTTCTCTGCCTGTGAACAGCCTCTCAGGGCCCATTCACATCTATGCATGTACTTTGCAATGTCGGTGGGCCCTATAAAAAAAAAAAAAAAAAAACATGCTTAGGCTTGGATCAAACTAGTGTGATTTCTGATGGAACTCTGTCGCAGAGAATCGCAGGACAATGGAAATCACATTGTTTTCAATGGTGCCTGTTCACATCGAAGCAACACAACAGAGAGCGATTTTGGAAAAGGGTCCTGTGCTATTTTGGTGTGATGCAGCACAATTTTGTTGGCCATAGACTTGAATAGAGATGCATCAAAAATGCATATTGATGCGATTTTGATGCAGTGTTGCAAGCAATTTTATTTTTGTTAACCCTCAACTGCTAGTAGCAGTCTAATATTGCCTCAAAAATGCACTGGATGCAAAAGTGCATCAAAAACACACACAACTCATCATCAAAATCGAAAACAACTCGCACTACAGAATTGCACCTGAAATCTCATCTAAATAGCATCACACTAGTGTAAACCAGGGTTAAATAGTACTTTATGCAGCACTGAAGGTGATACAATTGAAATATAATTCATTTATTTCTTATAGGAATGACATCTGTAAAATAAATAATCCCAGTGGTATGAAATGCTGTGGATGTTACATAAAATTGGCTATGCCTCTTTTGGAGCAATGTAACATTTATAGTATACCCAGAAATGTTTGCTTTTACTCTGACCATGTACCTGTGCATGGGCTGAGTTTGGATCCAGAATACAGATAAATAAAAAGCATGGAGAGCAAACAAACTCCATCAGTAAAACATGGAGTATAACATAGTTCTAAGACCAGAGGAAGACTAATCTATGAAAGATATAGTCCAACTCTTAATCAGCATCTCCGTGTCAAAACCCAATAGTGCTGATGTCTTCTGTTCGAAAATTCTTCTTTCACAAGTGACAAACTCCTCTTCCTCCACTTAATACCCTCAAAGAAATATAAATCCAAAACGCATGATATCCAACACAAAACAACTCACTTACAAAATTAGTGCCAATAAGTGAAAAATCACACCACTCCACCGTGTGTCTACTTCTAAGTTTCTGTCATCATTACTCTTACCCTCTTAAAAATTTGGAAAAGCGTCCACAAAATCCACCTTTCTTTGTGGTTGAGCTCCTAAATCTGTCACCTTTTGTGTGAAAAATGTACTTCCGAAGGAATTAATTATAGAGTCATATCTTCAAAACAGTATACGTGCTCCCATCACATCAAAAAAAAAAAAAAATTTCCCAGTGCTGGTGAACACTGAACGCCACCTCATATCTCATGCACCTTACCAAATGATAAGTCCACTTGCATAAAAAGGGGGGGGGCTCCTCTCACTCCACAACGTATCCGATTCACAATGACATCATAACGTGACAATATATACCCAAAATAGTGTAGTAGGCAATAATAGGGATATCGCTCTGTAATTATACAATTGCTCTTACAAACAAGCAAGGTGTCTCTGCATAAATTTCTATAGCAAAACAGTATGAAAACCTTTTCCAAAATGGCCGCTCCGTAACTTCCGACATCACGTGCTGGCGTGTTTCCTCACTTCTGACTTCATATGAGGCTGTGCACGTCGGAATCGCGGCCACTTAAATACCCCACATAATAAACAACTCGCATCTTTAAGTTTATATACTTATTGTGGGGTTTGTTAAGAATAGTACAAAGGACATTTACATCGTCAGTTGTATATTACTATTATGTGGTATAGCAATAGCGAACATTCCTGGGTATATCTCTTCCTTTCTCAAAATGGCACATACTGTCAATGCAGATAAGATTCAGGGGTATTTATGTGGCCGCGATTCCGATGTGGACAGCCTCAGGTGAAGTTGGAAATGACGAAACGCGTCAGGGCGCAACATCGGATGTGACGTCAGAAGTAAACCGGAAGTTACGGAGCGGCCATTTTGGAAAAGGTTTTCATACTGTTTTGCCTTTGGAATTTATGCTGAGACGCCTTGCTTGTTTGTAAGCGCAATTTTATCATTAAAGAGCGATATTCCTATTATTGCCTACTACACTATTTTGGGTATACTTTGTTACGTGTTATGATGTCATTGTGAATCGGATACGTTGTGGAGTGAGAGGAGCCCCCCCTTTTATGCTAGTGGACTTAATCATTTGGTAAGGTGCATGAGATATGAGGTGGCGGTCAGTGTTCACCAGCACTGGAAAATTTTTTTTTTCTTTACGTGAGGGGAGCACGTATACTGTTTTGAAGATATGACACTATATGTAATTCTTTCGGATGTACATTCTTCATACGAAAGTGGACAGATTTAGGAGCTCAACCATGAAGAAAGGTGGATTTTGTGGACCCTTTTCCAAATTTTTGAAAGGGTAAGAGTAATGATGACAGAAGGTTAGAAGTGGACACATGGTGGAGTGGTGTGATTTTTCACTTACTTATTGGCACTAATTTTGTAAGTGCGTTTTTTTTTTTTTTTTTTGTCTTGCATATCATGCGTTTTGGATAATGCGCTATATACGATTTATATTTCTTTGAGGGTATTAAGTGGAGGAAGAGGAGTTTATCACTTGTGAAAGAAAGAAGAACAATTTTCTAACAGAAGACATGAGCACTATTGGGTTTTCTTGACACGGAGACGTTGATTAAGAGTTGGGCTATGTGTTTTGGATTTTCGGGGAGAAAGTATAATTTGGCGTCTGGGGTTTATTATTTATTGTGTTTAGCACTTAGTAGCACACCAATACATCTACTTATTTAACCTCCCTGGAGGTATTACCGAGTGTAGCTAGGGGTAAAGTTTCAGCACCACAAGCGGTATCCCCGTGCTACACTCGGGATTACCCTGCAGCGTTGCTTCGGGATCTCTTCTTCACTTACCTTGTCCTGCGCTCCCGCAGTGTCCCTCCTGCAGTGTCCCGGCTTCTGGGTTCCATCCCCTGCAACGTCAGGATGTACAGGGACGGAACAGCGGGAAATTTAAAAATGTGAAAAAGTGACATTCACTAAGTACACTAACATCACATAGTAAAACATTACTGTATCAAACCATTTCACATACATTTTGTCCCCAGTGCTTTGTCCTGTGCCCTGCCTGCATTTTTACCGTTCTTTCTGCCTGGAAACATGGTGTCCAAAAAGCGTCCCTTTAGGTCAAAAGCGGTTTTAGATCAGCTAGAGAACAGCGATAGTAAATCAGAACCACTTGCAGAATTGAGTGATAATGATTCGTGGGGAAATTCGTCATCAGACACTGAAAACGATTTTGCAACTTTGCTTAGTAATGTGCGAACTTGGCGCTATATTTCAAATTTCTGTGTTTTTGGTTTGATTATATTACTGAATTAAATTTATTATATTATTTTTTATGATTATTTTAATAAATTATAATTTATGATTTCATGTTTCAAATTTTATCATACCCGGGATGTTTACTAGACTCTTGTTCGGACAGATTTTAGTTGAGTTATTCCTAAAAATTACAGGCCTACAATAAAAAAAAATACATATTTCCATGCAAAAAAATGTACTGCTTTGAGCACAGAAATACTGACATAATCAGACCGCTAGGGAGGCTAATCTATGAAAGAGACAAAAGCTTGGCCAACCTAATTTTTCTTGCTGTCTGTTTCCCCACTTTGGAAATTTACCCTCTCTGCTGGTCCTGGTGAGCACTGCCACCAAGACTGAAAGTGATGGTAAATTTAAATTTTACAGTTGTCACCAGAATGGAGGGGGGAGGGGAAATCTTCGTGTTGGGACACCTACACCTGCCCCAATGACAAGAGTCTAAAAGGGGAGACTTAGGAGAGATGTCTTCTCTATATCTTGTGTCTCTGGGACAGAAAGTGAAGGGAATTCTCTCCACTATGATGAAGTAAAAATAGTGATTTAACCAATCCCTACTTTTTCCAAGAAATAAAATGTTTGGACGCTATATAGTCTTATAGTTTTCCAAAAAATAGCCAGTTAAGTTCTTGTAGCAAAACTGCCTTTTTGCTATGCAACCTTAAAACTGCTATTACAATTTTAAAAGTGTAAATGTATTGTTCTGTGTGGGACTGTCTTCCTCCATTGGTGTTTATTCATCCTTGTTTATGTGGTCTTGCAGAATAAATTCAATTAAGGAGATAACTTCTCGATGTCCATTGGCAATGACGGAAGAACTTTTACAGGATCTTGCACAATATAAAACACACAAGGACAAAAGTAAGTTGCCATTTAAACATAGAACTGATGAGGTGAAAAAAAATATCCTGTAAAAAAAAAAAAATTGACAGATACTCTGAGAGACTAACCACTATATTCAATATTTAGGTATGACAGGAAAGCACACATTTTGCAACTGTTTGTTTCATCTATAAGGTGCTAAAGGTGTTGTTTGTTTTTTTTTTCTTTTTAGATGTCTGCATGTCAGCTAGAGCTTTGATACAGCTATTCCGCACATTAGACCCCAAGAAGTTGCAGAAGAAATTCCGCGTAAGTAATTATTTTTTTTTTTTTTACTACATTGGGGAAAATTGTACTGGCACAAGCCCCTTTTTTTAATTAGGAGTGTTCCGTTCTTGCTGATAGGTACAGCACAGAGAACATGTGAGCTGGAGCTGCAAGCTTTCAGTTGCCTTGACAGGTCCAGCACAGAGAATATGTGAGTTGGAGCTGCAAGATCCAACCTTTGTCTTCTCACTCCCTCCCCCATCCCCAGCCTTATCTCAGCGGGGAGGGAGGAGGAGGGTGATAACACTGCACAGGCTCTGCTCCTGCTCTGTTATCACTGCATGGGGAGAAAGGGATGTGAGCTGTCTACTGAGAGCTCAGAATTCCCTACAAGGTCACACCTGACTGAAATCTGCTGTGGTTTTCTGTCCAGAAAACTGCGGTATTCCCTCTGTTATCAACTGTAGACTTGCTCTAGTTTTCTAGTTTTTATTTCACTCTAAAATAAAAACTAACGCAGGTGGTACAGACAACTAGACCAGCCGCCCCCCCCCCCTTAAAAATCTTCCCCCTGAATGGAAGGGACACTAAGTACAGGGGTGGGCGGCGGCTGTTTCTTACCTGGTTCCAGTCCCACGACGATCCGGTCCAGGAAGCGCGGCTGCGCCTTCAGTTCGGCCACTGGATGTTCGTGCGGCTGCTCGGCTCCGCCTCCTCACCAGTGATTGGCCGCCAGAACTGTAGCTCAGGAAAGGCACACAGGCGGCCAATCACCGGCGAGGGGGTGGAGCCGAGCGGCCCCCCCGCGAAAATCGAGTGCAGGACCAGCAGGTAAGTGGTCAGTGTAGAGGTGCTGCTGCAACCACATATGCTGGCTGCAGCAGCACCATACGAGAACAGGGTCAGCAAGTGTCAGTGGGAGGAATAGTGCCCCATCATTGGTGTCACTGATACCAATGATGGAGCACTGTTCCTCCCACTGATACCAATGATGGGGCACTGTTCCTCCCACTGATACCAATGATGGGGCACTATTCCTCCCACTGACACCAACGATGGGGCACTATTCCTCCCACTGACACCAACGATGGGGCACTATTCCTCCCCCCCACTGACACCAACGATGGGGCACTATTCCTCCTCCCCACTGACACCAACGATGGGGCACTATTCCTCCCCCCCACTGACACCAACGATGGGCACTATTCCTCCCCCCCACTGACATCAACGATGGGGCACTATTCCCCCCCCCCCCCCACTGACACCAATGATGGGGCACTATTCCACCCCCCACTGACACCAATGATGGGACACCATTCCTCCCACTGACACCAATGATGGGGCACTATTCCTGCCACTGATACCAATGATGGGGCACTATTCCCCCCACTGATACTAATGATGGGGCACTATTCCTGCCACTAATGCCAATGATGGGGCACTATTCCCCCACTGATACTAATGATGGGGCACTATTCCCCCACTAATGCCAATGATGGGGCACTATTCCTGCCACTGATACCAATGATGGGGCACTATTCCTGCCACTGATACCAATGATGGGGCACTATTCCTGCCACTGATACCAATGATGGGGCACTATTCTTGCCACTGATACCAATGATGGGGCACTATTCCTGCCACTGATACCAATGATGGGGCACTATTCCTGCCACTGGTGTGCATTGGAAGAGGGGTAGTCTTATACGGCGAGTATAGCTCAAACACTAAATTTTAGCAGGAAAAGTAGGGGGGTCGTCTTATACGCCCAGTCGTCTTATACGCCGGCAAATACGGTAATTTCACCCTTATGTCTTATTAATCCAGAATGGGTTTTGAAAAAACCTGCATTTGCAGTCTGCTGAGCTATACAATTTAATAGTATCACTTAAAATTACCAGGAATAGAAAGCAGCTAGATCTACTTAACTGTTTTCATTTTTCAAAAGGCCATTCCAGGACAGAAAAATTAGCTGCTTGGTAAATACACCAGAGATGGACATTATGAGATGCACATGCTCCTTAGAAACAAAGAAATGGTGTGAATGTAGCAAGCAATAGCAAATTGGGAGCCTCACTTGCTATAATTAGGCCATTTATGATGAGTCTTAACCATTTCAATACCGGGCAATTTTACCCCTTCTGCCCAGGCCATTTTTCAGGTTTCAGCGCTATCATTTTCTTCACACTAGAGCTTTCTTTTGGTGGTATTTAATCACCGCTGGGGTTTTATTTTTTGCTAAATTAACAAAAAAAGACCGAAAATTTTGAAAAAAAACATGTTTTTCTTTGTTTCTGTTATAAAAGTTTGCAAATAAATAATTGTTCTTCATAAATTTAGGCCAAGATGTATTCTGCTACATGACTTTGGTGAAAATAACCCAAATTAGGATGTATTATTTAGTTTGTAGGAAAGTTATAGAGTTCACAAACTATGGGATAGATCTGAATATTGTTCAATCCTGAAATACTGACAGCCAATCTAATTTCTTGAGGTCCAAGAATGTCAGAACAGTACAGATATCTCCCAATTGACCCCTTTTTGCAAAGTAGACAGTCCAACGTACTTCATAAGCGGCATGGCGAGTTTTTTGAAGTTGTAATGTTTTTGTCCAAATTTTTTGGAAAATGAAAAAATTAAAAACATTATTTTCACTATTTTATTTTTTTACATACCATCACCAGTGCAGTACAGCGTCGTCATATAACTGGCATGGCGGTGGTCAGGGACACTGACTGGTGACAGTATGAAAAAATATATATATATTTTTTTTTTTTAATTTTCTTTTAATTTTGTTTTATTTTTAATTTTTATTAAATTTTTTTCTTTTTTTTTAAAGATTTTTATTTTTTTATATTTCACTACCATAGTAACATTGTACTACTTTGGGGAAGTGATCAGTATTTTTTTTTATTTTTTTTTTTACACAATTTGCTTATAGCAAAGAATTACTTTGCTATAAGCAAGCATTTACCTGAATGACATCGATTCATTCAGGGTTTTTTTTTTTTTTTTTTTGCTTAGCTGTGATTTGGCCACAGCTAATCACATGACATGTGCATGTGATCGCTGTGACCATTCACAGCTAGACATTTGTATACAATGGATGGCATGAATGAAGCCATCCATTGTATACAACTGTCATGTGACCTGCTGTGACGCAGGTCACATGGTACCGGCAACGGGGCCGATACTCAGATCTGTCATCGGCCGTGTCCGAGGTACACGGCTGGTGACAGATTGCGCGACTCTGCAAGCGCGAAAACTGCGCATGCCCGGGAGTACGCCAAATGGCGTCCACCCGGAAAGCTAAAGCATTTTGCCGGCCGCCAAACGGCTATTGGCCGGGCGGCAAATGGTTAAAGTGTATGTAAAAAAGTTCTCAAACATATAGATAATCCTTTTGGACAATTGTCACTGCAAAAGTGTCCCCACTGGAAGATTATTGACCCAGTGACAGCTCAGAAATTCACATTTTTTCCCTCCATTTTAGTACAATAAATCCAGGACTCATAGAAATAATGAATCTCCTCAGCACAGAAACAGACAGCAGTACAAAACCTAATGAATTTTAACTATTCCCTACTTTATCCAAAAAAAAAAACAAAAAAAATCTTTTACATATACATTTTTTCAGTTATATACTATTTTTAAACTGTTTGTTTAGTTTTTACAAACTCTTGCATACTACTGCCAAAGCATCATAGCGCATTTCTGGTTGGTTACCCACCTCTGATATTTTAGTTTCTTGGTTTTCAGAGAATACAATGATAAAGCAATCAGGTTGATTTGATTAGTAAAGAATAGTGCTGCGCTCCTAAACATTGATAAATATACAGTGAATAAAATAAGTCCCAAATAATAAAGTGACAGTCCACCATGTGAGTTTTTGAACTCCAAGAAGTGACACTACAGTGATCCTCCACCAAAGCATCCAATGGGTACGCTTACCAGATTGGATTGAATCTCTATTTTATAGAAGTATCGCTGAAATCCTCTGTGGCACCATGTGACATCCTACACAGAACACAAGTTATTATTTGCCACAGCTCCAAATTATTCATGTAAAAAATGACAGGGATACTCCATAGCTTAAAACCATCTGAAAAGATTATTTATTAAAGTTGCGAAAATACAAATAGAGAACAGAAATAGATCATCAGTCCTACAAGCCGGTCCCAGGATGAGAACAGGCTGCTTCGGGGTTCAAAGGCATGTGATGACGTCATGTACATCCTATATGTTTCATCACATATGGCGTCCTTCGGGACCAGGTTGATTTAATTACCGAGCATTATCTCTTGGTTGTCACACTGTAAAATCTAAAGTGCGCGGTACACACGGGGCGAAAATTGTACGGTTCAGCAAGAACATGCTTTTGAACCCTGAACACAACTGTCTTTAGACTGGGTTCTGTCGCACGGGCATTCGATAAGCACTTTCAACTAATGGCTGCAAGCGCTGATCAGTGTATTCTGCTTGAGTCAGAATATAATATCTCAGTGGAAGAGATTGCTGCATCAACATCACTTGTGTTGAAGCAGCAACCTGTTTTTTTTTTTTTTTTTTTTTTCTTTGTTTAACCTGCTGGTTGAACAAAAAAAAACTGTAAAGTACTAGATTGTAAGCTCCAAGGAGCAGGGCCCTCGAACCCCTCGTGTATTGTATTCTTACTGTAGCGTCTCATGTACTGTCTCTCACTATAATGTACAGCGCTGAGCAAACGTTTTGGCGCTATATAAATACTGTATAATAATAATACCCAGCTTTTTCCCCAGGGTAGGTTTAAAATTCCAGACTCCACCAGATACAAGGTCATTTGTCTTTATCATATGTTTAAAGTGTATATGGTGAGAATTTAAAATAATGTATTCATTTTCAAGTTAAATTTGAATAATTTGTAGCCTGCTCCTATTAATCATAACCATCTTTACGTTTGCAAAATTACTTTGTGGAGAATCACTGATTGGCTAATCAGGGATCACATGAATCTGAACCTCACACAGGGGTCCTGTACAGCGATCGGTGTTTCGCTGTGTCCTCCGGACACATCAGGCACCGGATCGCGGTGCTCGTGCTCCCAGGGAGCGTGCACAAGCAGGGAAGCTGTTTATAAATGGCCACCCACCCCTGCACTGCTCCCAGCCGGCCATTTATATACATGGGCCAGACGGGAAGTGGTTAAAGGATAAGTTTACATTTTTTAACATTTTACACCGTGAATATGCACCGGCCTCTCCTCTTCCTCGAGTCACTATTTTGGCAGCTAGCAGGGAATTTTTATCCTCACTAGCTGTCACAATCTGAAAAAAATTCGGCTGGGCAGAGCTCTGTGAATGTAAAAACTACATGTACCAACAGCCTTTGCAGCTGTCAGCTTGTATTTCTCAATGAACTACCAGGGTGCTGTTGAGTTCTCTAGGTAGTTGACTGAGCTGCCTGCCCACATCGGGGGTACGGGCATACAGCTACACAGCCTGCAGAACCGCAGCATTACACCCACAATATGCTGTTTATGTGTACAATGCTTTACAGGCTCCTAACAAGAAAAAAAATAATAAATGCATATTTTTTAACTTGCAAAGAAAATTTGCGTTTTTATTACTTATTTATTTTTTTTTAAGGTGAGCTTATCCTTTTAATGGAGCGGACACCAAAGCTTTATTTGGCTGCTCAGCATTCGCATATACTGAGCACCCAATTGCTTTCATGTGCGAGCTGGTAACCTGAAGGAATAACATGGTTTTTATTTCTTCTTTTTTCTCATTGGGGCTGGCGCCTCATTTACTCGCTCAGCAGATGTGCTTCTGTTGAGCATTAAGAGAGCCTGAGTGCTGGTTCATATATGCGGATTGGATGCGGTTTGATCTGCATCCAATCCGCATGACATGAAATAACATTGCTTCCTATAGTGCCTGTTCACACATATCCGATGCACTGGCAGTGAAGATTCAGTGCGGTTTGAAAGAGTCCTGTACAATTTCTGAGCAGTGCGGTCCTGTTCAGGTGTGGATTACAGGCTATTGACTTCAATGGGAACTGTTTCTAAACCGCACGTGTGTGAACAGGATAAGGTCCTGAACCTGATGTAAACCTGACATAAACTGCTGAACAACTACTGTGTCAATTAGCTGTGAAACCTGAGCTTCAATTCCCACCACACGTGTGTGAATTGGCTCTGACACTCCCCTTCTCTGACAAGCATTCAATCGGTGCTTGTCACACTGCCTGGTCTCTCCTCTCCCTGCTAGTTCCTGGGTGCGGTGCTGGAGACAGGCAGGGAGGTGCTTATGAAATAAACAGTGCAATGTAAAAACATTAAAAGTTGCCACAAAGCTCCTTTCGTTTTTAAAAGCCCTGGACATTTCTATAAGCACCTCTGCCTAACAAAAACATCAGCCCTTCATATTTTCCATCTTGGCAAAAATGTATTTTTATCAGGAAAAGTAGCTTGTTGTGAGGGACAAGTAGATTGGGACCCCAAAATAGTCCCTTGGACAAGTAGTTTTTTAAACAATTTCCACACCCCTGCTGCCCAACTTTAACTGGTAATTGCATGGTCATGCAACGATGTGCCCAAATGAAATGTATATTATTTTTTTCACACAAATAGAGCTTTCTTTTGGTGGTATTTGATCACCACTGAGTTTCTCTTTTTTTTTTTTTTTTTTTTTTTTTTATAAAAAACGTGCCCTGAACTTGGAAGAAGGTGCTTATGTACAGATACATGATGGTTCCTGTACATGCCGCCCTCTGTCAAAATTACTGTGGGCAGTTGTCAAGTGGTTAAATTGGGTTGTAAAAAATAACTATTGTTTCTATTGCTATTACAATGCTGATGTTGTAAAATGAAAGTGTATGCTGTGACTATAAATCTCCTTTTAAAAATGAGAACACTTGAACATTTTAACAGGGCAAACCCACGGAGGCATCTACAGAGGCAAAAATTCATGCTTATGGAGAACTGGTTGCTAAAGATTACATTCCTGGTGCAGAGGTGCTAGAAGTCGAAAATGAGCCAAAACAAGAGGAAGGGGAGGATGATGGTAAGTGACAAGATTATGTACAGTTTATTCACTTTACCAATACTTTTATTTGCTTGCAAGTAATAATATATCCACATATCTCTTCAGATGGCTGGGAAAGTGCTAGTCTTAGTGATGATGAAGAAGATGGAGAGTGGATTGACGTTCACCACTCCTCTGATGAAGAGCAGAAGGAAGTTGTAAGTGTTAAAAAAAAAATATCATAGGGTACATACAGGGGTTAAACAAAAACTTGAAACACTACATGATTTGCAGGTGTGAGAGTGATGTCATGTCTCGCGGTGAAAACAGAAGTGATGTAACATTCTTTTGCTTCCGCTGTGTGATAAGACACCCGGCTAACAGATGTGAAGACTCACCTCGTCATTCAGTGCGTGCACTGCTAGCAATACGGAGTTATGTCAGAGTTTACTGCCCTTCAGAGGGCAAATTGTCGGTGCCCGCTTAGTTGTTGCCTCTGTGACTGAAGTTGCCAATTTTTTTGCCATGTTGTGAGGTACAGTATCAAAAGTTTTAATGGCATATGCAGTAATGACTAAAAATATTGGAACCCCAACAGTTCTGTCAGATAATGCACTACTTTGCCCAGATAATTGTTGTAATTACAAATGTTTGGGTATTCTCATGTTTATTTCTTTTGTTTGTATTGGTATGACACACAGAAGTGGAGAAACAAAATCTGATACATTCCACGCAAAACTCCAAAAATGGACTGGAGGGAATCATTTGTGGTGTGTTATCTTGACAGAAATGCTGGGATGCCAATATTTTTGGCTATGACTGTACAGATTCTGGGAAAACGTCGTCTGATGAGCATAATCAAGGTCAACATGGTCAACTGACCCAAAGAGAAAAGGACATTACGCAGAATTGTTACCCAGAATAAGAAAACAACTGCTGCAAAAGTGACTGCAGAACTCAATCTCGGTCCTGTGAAGACTGAGATTGAGCTCTGCGGTCACTTTTGGAGCAGTTGTTTTCTTATTCTGGGTCACAATCCTTTTGTCTCTTTTGGACCATGTCAACCTCGCTTATGTTTATCAGACGACGTTTTCCCAGAAACTGTACATGCCATCATAACTTCTGATACTTCGCCTCACGACACGGCAAAAAAACATAGTGTCACGTACCTGATTGGAGACTGAAATGACGAGGTCGGCCTCACTTGTGTCACTAGCCCTGATCCCACTGGAAGTGGATCAGAAGGTGTCTAGGGACCAGGGGGACAAGAGCGCCAGCAGATGTTGTTTGCAGCTCTTGCAGTTGGAGACTTTGGAAGACTGATGAACCTCTGATTCAGGAACAGCAGTAATATGCAGGGCTGGTATGGTAAACCACCAGGTGTTCACCAGAGCAAGGCAGGGATGGGAGACAGGAGCAATGTCATAGGAATAGCTGGGGTCAACGGGCGGACAGCGAGGTACCAAATCATAAGCAAGCCAAAGTCAGGAGCAGAGCCGAAGTCAAGAACCAGTATCAAGCAGGAGAGTAATCAGAGTCAGGTCAGGAACAAGCTGGGTCAGCAACAAGGAAACCACACAGGAACAAGCAGGAAACAGGGAACAGCTGAAGACCAGTCAGCACAGGCAGAGGCACCTTTTAAATAGTCCGTCTGGCGCCAATCTTCACCGTGCATGTGCATGATCGTGCATTTCTGTGCACATGCGCATGTCTATTCACCATCCGTCTCACGGGAATTCCCTTACACATAGGAAGGTCTCGTTCACACAGGGTATACTACAGCGTACGCCTCTGCAAGACTGTTTTTACCTGCATGTGGATGCACAGGTGTTCCATGCATCTCCATGCAGGCAGTGTTTTTGATGTCAATTTGGATGTAACAACTGCACAAACACATCCACTGCTCCCATCTATGTGAGTCTGGGTTCATGTCCCTGAGCTCACACTGTGTTCAGGGGAAATGCACCCACACAGATGTCAGATTGGAAGCAGCAGCTGTGCTCGTGCTCTGCTCCGTCCCAATTGACATGAATAGGACTGTCTGCACAGGGATACACAGAACACCTAGGCGGGTAAATACAGCCCTCCATGGACATACCCTTTAGTATGCCCCATGTGTACAAGGCCTTAGCAATTTAGCAGGATTTTTGTAAGTTATGTTACATTTGTGTGCACTAATAATGATTTTAGTGTAGTTTTAGTGAAGATAGTGAGTTTACCAATATTTGTGGGGTCTAAAAAAAATCTGTAGAACTTTTTTTTTTTCTTATTCTACAGGTCATGTGCTTTCAGAATATGTATGGTTTTGGGGGTCTTTTACAAATTCTGAAAGCTGTAAGTGAAAAATAATAACCTCCAGTTTTTTTTTTAATAAATTGTTTTTATTTACAGTTTTGCACACCTTCAGTTTTCACCATTTCAAAAAATAGCGCAATTTATAATTTGCAAATATTTATTTATTAACTCAATGCAGTTTTTTACCTTTTACATTTAGTAGGAACTTGCACGAATTTTGTAAACGTTGCCATGTATGTATTCACTAATAATGATTTCAGTGTATTTTTTGCAAAAATAGAGAATTGCTAAACATTTATGCAGATATCCCAGGGTCTAAAAAATCATTAGCACCTTTTTTTTTTTATTCTACTAGTTATGTGCTTTCATAAAATGTATGGTTTTTGGGGGGGTCTTTTACAAACTCTGAAAGATGTAAGGTAAAAATAAAAAAATTATGGGAAAATCGTAAAAATGGTTTGGCCACCTGAGTTTAAACGTGGAGTACAGGGCCTGGCAGCAAAAGGGTTAATGGCTGCATGCAACTTATGGGTCAGTGGCTCCTATTATTAAAGCCAGAGGTGGCCATGCATTTTTTAAATACAGGTGGAAGTCAACAATGGCACTTTAATATTTCTTAGTCAGGTAATAGGACATTGCAAAGACTGCACATAAAACTAAAATTGGTTTGGGTAGGCACTGATATGCTGGATCAGCTGCCAGACTCCAGTGGCAAGTGTTTCCTGTGATAATTTGTGTGTCTGATTCTCCTGACAAGTGCAAAACAAATGTGGTACTCTACCCAAGCAAGATTCCCCAATTAATAATGTATTATGGTTAATCAATTGAAGATGTGGCATTTGACTTTTTAAAATGGTAGTTCACAATTATGAAATAAAATCTGCTTTTTACATTAACATAGCATGGGTACAGGTACCTTTCAATAGCACAGAGTCATAGAATATGGCCATACTCCTATTTTCCCATAATCTGTATGTATATCTACTTTTTCATTACACCATGCAATCTAAGCCCCCCCCCCCTTCCTGCTGACAATGGTAATGATTACCGGTGGAAGTGAAGAGAGAGCACATGCACATCCTTTCCCAGTCAGGTAAAAGGGAATTTGTAAATGTGAGTAGATCGAGCCCGCATGTGCGCACATGTACCGTACAGCATATGTAAAATTGCAGTGGTGGGTGGACAGAATACAGAATCAGTGACATCAGATCCCCGCCAGATAGAAGGAAATGCCATTCTCAGACTGCATTTCTCCATAATGAAAGCATGAGATAAGTGAAAACACTGAAGTTGGAGGTGGAAATTCAGGTACTCGTGTGTCTAAAAGATAAAGTTATTATGTTCAGCTTGTCAGCTATCACACAAAACTAATGGTGGAGATATTTTAAAATACTACAGAATATTTTAGTGGGCCTACATGACAAAAAGAAAACATGATTTGATTGTAGTCTGTATTCACAATATTCTGCTCACATTATGTGTTTTGTGAATGCTAATGGAGATCAAGGGCAATGGTTTTTTTTTTTTTTTTTTTTTTTACATTTTTCCCATCAGTGTTGTCTCAAGTTTCGTAGAATGACCCAGTTCTGCACTAATCTGATAAGCTGCATTCATTGCCCACTATGAATTCTGCCACCAAAATGTTTGCACAGCTTGAGTAGAAGCAAATAAACAAGGATATATAATATATTTCATCCTTAACAATACGACACATTTTATATGATTTGCAAAAGTAAGCTTGTACTTCTATTAATTTAACCCTCACATAATACTTTGAACTAATACACTATTGTATGCATTTGACTTATGGGATAAATCATAATTTGCCAACTTAATGACCCGCCAAAGCAGAAGAATTGTTTCTCCGTGACAACCTTCTTCATCTTTTCTCTTTATTTAATAAAAAAAGAGTTCAAAAGGAAGGGTTATGATCACTATGAGAATATTAGTTCTGAAAATGATTAATATGGGGATACATCATGTGCCCTGGTAAGGTTTAAACTGATAATATAGCACAATTTAAACCCCTTTTGAAAAAATTTTAATGTTATAAGCCCGTATCTATTACATATGTTTAGAGTTTACCATGAAGTGTGAACTGTATGTCTTACTATATGTTTTATATTGATCAGCTATCCTTGAGCCTTGTTCATAAATCTGCTGCCCAACAATTTATAAAACCATGAAATATTGATTACCTTGACCACAGCTTCATTTGTAAGAAATTATATCACTTCTGCAATATTTTTAGGCAGAAAAGCTCCAGGCGATGCCAGAAGCTGAGCGAAAGTCCAAGGCTGCAGCAGTCAGTGCCAGCAGGCTTCTCACTCAAGAGGAGTTCAAGAAAATCCGCATTGCACAGTTATCAAAAGAGATTGCTGCTGCTCCGGGTAAATCTGAGAAGAGGAAACATGTGGAAATAGACAGTGATGAAGAGGAGAGCAGGTTTGCATGGTTTTTGGTCTATTGCAAAAGTCATTTACGTGTATTCAATTTAGTAAATGTAAAGTGTTCACTCTGTTGGTACTGAGCTGTCGGGAGCCATGAAACCCATGTAGCACTTCCAGAAAGGATCAGAGGCATGCTTTGTGCCTGCGTTGACCAATCAGAATTACTCTGGTCCTTTCCAGAAGCGCTGCATGGAGAAGAGATTTTAAATCCCCAGACTGCACGGATTTTACATTGCTATACTGCTCCAATGGGCACTGACAGCTCATCACCCACAGAGGCAGGTACAGTGGATATTGAGTGGAGGTGTGGAAGGGGGTACAGTGTTCACCTTTTAACACTTTAAATCTGCTTAGTCGCTACAATTACTTCTGTTGGTCTATGTCTGTTTTTATGCACATTGTTTATTGAATAGAAGTGAATGAAACCGTTCACTATGTTCAGGAATATTATTATACAGTATTTGTATAGCTCCAACAGTTTGCACAGTGTTTTACAATCTAAAGGGAGACAATACAGTTACAATACAGTAAAATAAGATGGCTGAGGGCCCTATTCATAAGAGCTTACAATCTAATAGGGAGGGGCAAGTGTTACAAAAGGTAATAACTGTGAGGGATGAGCTGAGGGAAGAATTAAAGTTCAATTGTTAGGTGGAGGTGGGATAGGCTTCCCTGAAGAGATGAGTTTTCAGAGATTCACCTAAAGGCTGGCTAGAATTGAGATATCAGATTGAGGTAGAGAGTTCCAGAAGATGGGAGAGGCTCTGGAGAAGTCCTGGAGATGAGCAAGGGGGGAGTAGACAAAAGAACTAGAGAGCAGGAGGTCTCAGGAGGAGCAGAGGGGATGGTTGGGGTAATAATATTTGGAGACATGATTGGTGATATAGCTCAGGAGAGAGTTGTGAATGGCTTTGTATATTGTTAGTATTTTTAATTTAATTTGCTGGGCAATCGTAAGCCAGTGGAGAGATTCGCAGAAAGGGGTGGCAGACATTAAGTGTTTGCTAAGGTAGATGAGTCTTGCAACAGCATTCATGATAGACTGCCCTAAGTGAGCATGGAGGATAGCATGTGTAGAGGTAGGCCTAAAAGAAGGGAGTTGCAATAGTCAAGGTGAGAGATACCAAGGGAGTGAATAAGTAGCTTGCTGGTTTTATTAGTTAAAAAGGGGCAAATTTTAGATGGCACATAGGTGAAGTCTACAAGCTTTTTACAGTGATTGGATTGGGGGCTGAAAGGATAGGTCAAAGTCTAGGACTAAACGTAATACCCTGGTGTGAGGGGAGGGACTGATGGTTGTATTATTGATCAATTATGGAAAAGTCAGGGGGAAGGGGGTGAGAAATATTACAAGTTCAGTTTTAGTGTGACATCCTTGTTGATTATAAAAGTTAGTATGTTAGTAATGCGAGAGCAGACTGAAGGAGTGAAGTTAGGCGTAGAGAGTTAGCATTGAGTGTCATCGAGGAGAGGAGGAGACAGAGTTGTAGGCAACACTAAAGGAGCTCTGTGATAGGTAGGAGGAGAACCAGGAAAGAGCTGAATCTTGGAGTCCAAAGAAGTGGAATTTATTGAGAGCACGAGTGTTCAACAGTATCAAAGGCTGCAGAAAGGTTAGTAGTAAAAGTGTGGAGCAGTGACTTTGGGTTGTTTTTTTTTTTTTTTTTAAGCCAGCCATTCGACTCTCGGCTGGTTCAGCAGGGACCGGTCAAGAATCGAACCACCTATGGGCAGGCTGAATGTGCACAATTTGATTGTTGTACGATGGGTACAACTAGCTTGTTGGATTTTTACATGTGAATATAGCTAGTGGTTATAGCCGCTACCAATTATCACTGTGTTCTTCTGGCAGCGATGGAGATTGAAGATATAATAGAGAGAGTAGAGGATAGAAGAAGAGTGTGACCAAAGTAGTTGTGAGTGAACAGGATACAGGGGACAATTGGTTAGATGGGAATTGTTTGGTAACCTCTTCAGCAGTAGTCGGGTCAAAAGAAGAAAGTATTGAATATGCTGTTAGACATGGTATGTTAAATAGGTAAGATATCTGTACGGTGTCCTATGTATGTCCTCACGAATTACATCAGTCTTGTTTTTTAAGTGATTGGCAATCTATTGGGCAGTGACTGAGTCAGTGGGTGGAGGTGGTGGGGGAAAAAGTAGAAAGAAGGTAAAGTGTTACTAAACCCAGGATCCTGCATTCACTATGTCTGCTCTCCCACAGTACACAGAACATGGAACTGCTAAATCCCTTTTCTCATCAGCAGTTAGAGCAGTCTTGTGACTTCTATCAGTGTCCAGTCGAACACTGGTTAAAGCTTGTAGGAGGAGTTTTCATTTTGCTCCTCTGTCTGGACAGTGCTGATTGGCCCTGTGCTGATCACATGCACTCTCCCAAGAAAAAAAAAACCTTTCTAGCAATACACACACCGAAGTAAGCATGTGACTCCACACGATATGCCTTATCAGGACATAAGAGGGGGACACTGGAAAAAGGGGAGGATCAGAGAAGTCGGTATCAAACCGTGTTTTTACACAATGCAGAGGATTAACCCCTTGGGTTCCACAGTGAATATAACAAGCATGCTTTACTGCATATACAGACTGATTTTACTATTGTAGGTTTAGTAACACATTAAAGATCTAACCCTGATTGGCATGCCATCCTTCTGCTATATTTATTTAAGTCAATGTACCCTTCAGCATCTCTCTAAGCACAAAGCCGTGCTGATTGTCAGAACATTTTAGCACTTCCTGCATCTCAGAGGAGATATTGAGGGTGGTATGGGCTTCAAGGATAATAGCCTATTTAGAAGAATAGTGTATTTGACAGGGATGGGAGGAGGGGTGGTAATGCTGTCTCTCTTAAAAAAAAAAAATTTAAAAGACTAATCCAAACTCTGAAAAGCATGCTTTTCAGCACACCTCAACGCAAGTTAGTGCAGCAAGGTGCTTTGGGGTGGGCAGAGTACATTACCTCAGCACAGTAGCGTGAATGGGCTTTAAAGCTCTCCTGGATTAGAGACTATCATCAGCATTAATATACTAAGTAAAATATAAGATATATTACCTGTCATTTAAATATTTTTTGCTTTTGGGTTTTAGTACATACTGTAAATTGTTTGAATTCGATATCTGTTAAATTTGTCTTAAAAATTATATTTGTACATCAAACCTCACTTATAATTTAAAGTATTTGTAAATGTGTTTTTTTTTTTTTTAATAAAAAATGTTATATGTGCTCTGTGCATGTAACAAGCTGCACCTGTGCGCTTGATCCCAAGCTGGGCTGTGTGTGTCTGTGGACGCAGGTATAGTGTGTCTCAGCCCCACCCACTGCTCTCTGTTCAGAGGATTTTATTAACAGCCAATGGCTTCTGCTGCGGCCTCTGTGAGCAGAAAGAGAGGAGAGAGATGCTGCAGACAGGCACAACGCTGGACCAAGAGTGGGCTCAGGTAAGTATAGAGGGGGGTAAGGGGACAATACAATCACTGGGGCTTTTTTTTACCTTAAATCAGTAAATGCATTAAGGTAAAAAATGTCCAGGCTTTGGAACCACTTTAAGTGTGACGAATTGGTATATAGCATTGGCAGTAGCTAATAATGTTCTCTCTTCTAGAGGGGAGTTGCTTTCACTTAGAGATATTGAACGTCTGCATAAAAAGCCCAAATCTGACAAAGAGACCAGGCTAGCCACTGTTCTGGTGAGTTTAAATGCTATTGTTTACTTTTCTCAGTATTTAACTATATCATTCATTATTTTGTGACATGTATTACAGTACTGTACAGTAAATAACTAGGACTCTGTGCCCTAGCATGTTTATTTTTATGCTGCCTATAAACACGTGCTTTATTAAGAAAAGTATCGACTTAAACAAAAAAAAACTATACTTGCCTAGTTGGATGCAGCATCGATCGCCCGCTGGCTCTGTAGTGAGAACTGAGCGATCAAACGCCTCTGATTGCTCAGTATTTCCTTCCTTTCTGAGCACAGAGCCATGACTGTCAGTTTCTGGCTCTCTACTTTGCCCCTCCAGCGATTACTGGAGAGTTGAGCTGTAGAGGAGAGTCAGGAGGGCCTGGCTCAGGCTGTTGGTGGATTGCTGAGAGACTGAGTCAGGTGCCGGTCCAGGCTTCTGCATGGATCCCGACCATATGGTCAAGATCTTTTAAGAGCCTGGACTGCCTCAGTGTTGTCAGCTGACTGTAGCCCGCTGTCAACTAAAAATGGGTCACAGGAGTGCAGGACGAACTGGACTTCTGTCACTTACACAAGAAGTATAGGCAAAATAGCTTTGGCTACACTTCTCTATTAAATATCATCCTGCAATGACAAGTAGTATGTTTTAGACAGACAACCAAAACGTGACATTTTTATTGAAGGCTTTTAAAATATAGAAATTGGTATATAGGGCAAGAGACAAGAAAAAAAGGATAGTAATCACTGGGTAGATGGCCATTGGTACATACAGTTTTACAAAGTGCATATACACTTAGGTCCATATATATTTGGACACAGGCACAATTTTAGATTTGTTCAGGTATTTACCAAAACATATTCAAGCTATAGTTATATAATGGATATGGGCTGAAAGTGCACATTCTCAGGTTTAATTTGAGGGTATGTACATACAAATTGGTGGAAAGGTTTAGGAACTACAGCTCTTAAAAAAAAAAACAAAACAAAAAAAAAAAAAAAAAAAAAAGGTCTTGTATGCAAGAAAAGAAAATAGAGCTTGCTCCACCAGAGCGCACATTTGCATTACAGGATGTTGCATTTTTGTGGTGCCATTCAAACATGCCCTACCATATTTGTATGGTGTGTTTCATCGACAAGTATTTACAGGATTAACTAACTATAAGTTCAGGTCTTTTCAACTAGTAAAGAGAACAAGAGAATGTCTCTGTTTAGGATTTCTTTTGACTTACTTTTGATAGGCCGGAAGAGGAGACAGAAAAGATTTTGTGAGGAAAAAGATGAAAATGAATCCCCACGCCAGTACCACCAACAAGGAGAAGAAGAAGAATAAAAACTTTATGATGATGAGATACAGCCAGAACATCCGAACTAAAAACAAACGATCTTTCAGAGATAAGCAGGTAAATACATCAAACTTAGAGGTGTGTTATTTATAGGTGCCAAGAGATTGGCTTAGGGGTGTTGGCACTGAAAATAAGTTGAAGAAAAGCAATCCCGACTGCTTGCTAGAAACCCTTAAATCCTAACAGTAAATGTTTTTGTTTTTTTTATCTAACAGTTTGCTTACTAAGATTTAACTCAGGGTGCACCAATAAGCCTAGGTTCACACTAATGCAGTAAAATTATGATCTGGTTTTCAATGCGATTTTGTAGTGCAGCCGCAGTTCGAGTTGGTACAGTTTGGATACGTTTCTAATGTGAGTTTTTTTACTTCCCGGCACCTGCCACATAGTGAAAAACTTGTTGCCAGCAGAATTTAGACAAAAGAGCTAGAAAAAAAAAAACAGTATGGGGGTTCTCCCCAATCCATGCCAGGCACTTTGAGTCTGATATGGACTTTAACGGGGCCCACACAGCAAAAAAAAAAAGTGTGGGATCCTCCCCCCACCCCCCCCCCAAAATCATGCCAGGCTGTTTGCCATGAAAAGCAGCCCAGCAGGCCAGAAAAGGGGAGGGAGAAGCTAACGCTCCTTTGAGGGAGAGGCTAACGCTCCTTTGAGGGAGAAGCTAACGCTCCTTTGAGGGAGAAGCTAACGCTCCTTTGAGGGAGAGGCTAACGCTCCTTTGAGGGAGAGGCTAACGCTCCTTTGAGGGAGAGGCTAACGCTCCTTTGAGGGAGAGGCTAACGCTCCTTTGAGGGAGAGGCTAACGCTCCTTTGAGGGAGAGGCTAACGCTCCTTTGAGGGAGAGGCTAACGCTCCTTTGAGGGAGAGGCTAACGCTCCTTTGAGGGAGAGGCTAACGCTCCTTTGAGGGAGAAGCTAACGCTCCTTTGAGGGAGAAGCTAACGCTCCTTTGAGGGAGAAGCTAACGCTCCTTTGAGGGAGAAGCTAACGCTCCTTTGCCCTCCCTCCTGAATAATAGCAGGCTACATGACCTCAACATGGGGTGCACTCTGCACTCCCCCCACATGTGAATGAGTATGGGGTGCAGAATACCCCTACTTAGTTACCAAAAAAAGTCAAAAGTAAATAAAAAATACAAACACAGTTTTTGACAAGTCTTTTATTTAAAAAAAAAAAAAAAAAAAATGTCCTGATGTGAATCCATCCTCCGTTACGATGAATGCCAGCTGCCAACCTGCACATGGAAAAAAAAGCCGCTCACCCAACAGAACCACTTTCGTCACTAGACCAAAATGATGTCTCCAGGTGACCCCGGCTCTTTGTTTACTTGGTGTCAGGGGGAAGCGGTGCTGTCATTCAGTGAGTGTCCAGCGCAAGGAGCAGTCAAGTTCAGCAGATTTTTCTTTTTCATGCGGGTCGGCAGCCAGCGGACTCATCAAAAAGTGCAAAGTGCCTCTCCCATGTTGCCCATGTTGAGAGGACATGTGGCCTGGTATGATTTGAGGGGGGCTGCATGATCAGATAACGGTGTGGCAAGGATTTTTTTTTTGGGAGGGGGCCATGAAGGGCCTGGTATGAATCCCCAGCTAACAGAGGTGACTCCTCATTATTGTTAGGAAGCCGGGGCTTGCTGGCTCCTTAACAACCGATGACGTATCCCTGCTGCTGACACACAGCCATATCTGTTTGCTTTGAAACTTTCTCTGATTGAAACCAACTCTCTTATTAAACTGTTTGTAAAGCCTGAGTTTGTAATGAGCATGTTTGGCTGCCCCATTGTTCATATATTACTACAGGCATATCAACAAGGTTTTTAAATATGTTATTTATTCACTTTAAGCTGGTTGTTTTTACATTTATTTAAAAAAAAAAAAACTGTAAAAACATACAACTTTATTATTAGCTTCACTTAAAAGGAAGTACCTGAACAAGGATCTTTTCCTGAAGTTTTATTTATAACGTATTTGGTTTTAATCACTACTTCATTTTCTGTTGTACAGATTGCTCTGCGTGATGCTCTTCTGAAGAAAAGGAAACGACTGATGAAGTACGTAACTGGACTTTGCTCTAGTCACAGTAGTGTATTTTAGCTGTAAAAAACGTTTATAGCCCATGTGGGCTTTTCTTGACATAATGCCCAAGGTGGGAACTTATTTTGTATAGTATGTAATGTAACCAGCGTAATGGGTCCTTGCAAAAATCAGCACTTTAATCCAGTGAAAGTGCCACCTTTTATTATTATGCTATAAAACCATGTATAACCTGTAAAAGAAGTTCCTTAAATATAACATTATGCTGTCTTCAAATTGTGGTTGTCTAATTTGTGGGAGGTTCATTATTTTACCATAATAAAACACCCTTATTTTTCATTTAAAAGGTCCATTTTGTTGAAGGCTGGTTCCTCTTAGTTCTTAAGTTCAAATTGGACAACACAGGCTGTTAAATGATGGAAAAAAAAGGAAACATTGGAGGTGCTACCCATGGCAAACGATAATTTCTTCTGCTCTAGAAAACCGGTGGGGATGGTATTTGGTTTGCTGCTATTGGCAACTACTGCTGTTTCATTATTCTGAAGTCTGAGCAGTGCGATAGACCTAAATGTTGGTTCTGTGTGTTTAAAGGATAAGTTCACTTTTGGAACATGTTACATGTTCCACCAGTTTTATGAGGAGGTGAGCAAAACCTTGGACAGAGGGGTGGTGGTGGACGTGGTATACTTGGATTTTGCAAAAGCGTTTGACACAGTTCCCCACACACGGCTAATGTGTAAGGTAAAGTCTACAGGCTTGGAAAAATCCATATGTAAATTGATAGAAAACTGGCTAAAAGATCGTATTCAGAGAGTAGCGGTAAATGATTCATACTCTGAATGGTCTAGGGTTGTCAGTGGTGTTCCCCAAGGTTCAGTGTTGGGACCCTTACTTTTAAATATACAGTCATGGCCGAAATTGTTGGCACCCTTGATATTTCTCCAGGAAATCATGTATTTCTCACGAAACGTATTGCATTAACACATGTTTTGCTATACACATGTTTATTCCCTTTGTGTGTATTGGGACAAAACAAAAAAAGGGAGAAAGAAAGCAAATTCGACATAATGTCACACAAACCTCCAAAAATGGGCTGGACAAAAGTATTGGCACCCTTTCACAACTGCGGATAAATAAGAATGTTACAAGCATGTGATGCTCCTGTAAACTCACCTGGGGCAAGTAACAGGTGTGGGCAATATAGAAATCACACCTGAAAGCAGATAAAAAGGAGAGACGTTCACTTAACCTTTGCATTGTGTGTCTGTCTGTGCCACACTAAGCATGGACAACAGAAAGAGGAGACGAGAACTGTCTGAGGACCTGAGAACCAAAATTGTGGCAAAATATCAACAATCTCAAGGTTACAAGTCCATCTCCAGAGAACTAGATTTGCCTTTGTCCACAGTGCGCAACATTATCAAGAAGTTTGCAACCCATGGCACTGTAGCTAATCTCCCTGGTCGTGGACGGATGAGGAAAATTGATGAAAGATTGCAACGCAGAATAGTCCGGATGGTGGATAAGCAGCCCCAAACATGTTCCAAAGACATTCAAGCTGTCCTGCAGGCTCAGGGAGCATCAGTGTCAGCGCGAACTATCCGTCGACATTTAAATGAAATGAAACGCTATGGCAGGAGACCCAGGAGGACCCCACTGCTGACACAGAGACATAAAAAAGCAAGACTACAGTTTGCCAAAATGTACTTGAGTAAGCCAAAAGCCTTCTGGGAAAACGTCTTGTGGACAGATGAGACCAAGATAGAGCTTTTCGGTAAAGCACATCATTCTACTGTTTTACCGAAAACGGAATGAGGCCTACAAAGAACAAAACACAGTACCTACGGTAAAATATGGTGGAGGTTCAATGATGTTTTGGGGTTGTTTTGCTGCCTCTGGCACTGGGTGCCTTGACTGTGTGCAAGGCATCATGAAATCTGAGGATTACCAAAGGATTTTGGGTCGCACTGTAGGGCCCAGTGTCAGAAAGCTGGGTTTGCGTCCAAGATCCTGGGTCTTCCAGCAGGACAATGACCCCAAACATACGTCAAAAAGCACTCAGAAATGGATGGCAAAGAAGCGCTGGAGAGTTCTGAAGTGGCCAGCAATGAGCCCAGATCTAAATCCCATTGAACACCTGTGGAGAGATCTTAAAATTGCTGTTGGGAAAAGGTGTCCTTCCAATAAGAGAGACCTGGAGCTGTTTGCAAAGGAAGAGTGGTCCAAAATTCCGGGTGAGAGGTGTCAGAAGCTTATTGATGGTTATAGGAAGCGACTGATTTCAGTTATGTTTTCCAAAGGGTGTGCAACCAAATATTAAGTTAAGGGTGCCAATACTTTTGTCCAGCCCATTTTTGGGGTTTTGTGTGACATTATGTCATATTTGCTTTTCTGCCTCTGTTTTATATTTGTTCCAATACATACAAAGGAATAAACATGTGTATAGCAAAACATGTGTTAATGCAATACCTTTTTTGTGTGAAATACTTGATTTTCAGGAAAAATATCAAGGGTGCCAACAATTTCGGCCATGACTGTATTTAAAAAACGATATAGGGTCTGGGATTACAAATACTATTTCAGTCTTTGCAGATGACACCAAGCTGTGCAGTGGAACAACGTCCTTACAGGATGTCTCCAACTTACAAGCCGACCTCAATGCACTGTTTAATTGAGCAACTATGTGGCAAATGAGGTTCAATGTTGATAAATGTAAGGTTATGCACTTGGGGGCTAAGAATATGCATGCATCATACATACTATGGGGGGTACAACTGGGGGAATCAATGGTGGAGAAGGATCTGGGAGTTCTGGTAGATCACAAGCTTAATAATGGCATGCAATGCCAAGCTGCAGTTTCTAAAGCAAGCAAAATCCTCTCTTGTATTAAGACTCCAGAGAGAGAGAGATATCATTTTACCCCTGTACAAATCATTAGTAAAACCTCATCTGGAATATGCAGTTCAATTTTGGGCACCAATTCACAAAAAGAACATTGGGGAACTGGAGAAAGTACAGAGAAGGGCAACCAAACTGATACGCGGCATGGAGGAGCTCAGCTATGAGGAAAGATTAGAGGAACTGAATTTATTCTCTCTTGAGAAGATTAAGGGGGGATATGATCAACATGTATAAATACATCTGTGGTTCAGGTCCTCCCTAACCCCCCCTCCCTATCCTTCTCCTCCTTCGAGGCCCACTGCATCCGGCTCTTCTCTCCCACCCCCCTGAGGATTGCGGTAATCTATCGGCCTCCTGGTTCCGCATCCCCCTTCCTTGATGGCTTTGCCACCTGGCTTCCCTTCTTCCTCTCCTCCGAGCTACCGACCATCCTAGGTGACTTCAATAGCCCAGCTACTTCCCAACTCGTCGTCCTAACCTCCTCCTTCGCGCTCACACAGCACACACAATCCTCCACCCACACCAATGGAAACACCCTGGACCTCGTTTTCTCCCACCTCTGCAGCCCCCACGACTTCACTAACACCCCCTTTCCCCTCTCTAATCACACCACCTCATCACATTTTCCATCTCCCCTTCCCTTAACTCCCCCCCCCAAAGCGTCTAACCATCACCTGCAACCTCCGCAATCTGAACCCGACCCATCTCCACCCGGCAGCTGACTGTCTGTATGACAGTATCCTCCCTCTGTCATGCCCTGATCTGGCCACTACTGCGTACGACTCACTGTCGGCTGCCCTCGACTCCCTGGCACCCCTAACCACACGTAACACCAGACCCCGACCGCTTCAACCCTGGCAAAACAACCGCACAAAAAGTCTCAAACGACGCAGTCGCGTGCTGGAGCTCTTATGGCGCAAAACCAGATCCCCTCGCGCATTCTCCCTCTACAAAGCCGCCTTCCTCACCTTACACCACCTCCCTCCACGCCGCCAAGCAAGCCTATTTCGTAACCCTTATCAACACCCTCTCCACCTGTCCTCGTCGGCTCTTCTTCACTTTCAAATCCCTGCTCTCTCCCCCCCCCCCCCCCCCACTTCCACTCAGCACCTCACTCACCGCCCACGAGATTGGCAATCATTTCCAAAACAAGAGTGACACAATCCGTAAGGACATTGTCAACTCACAATCTACCTCTCCACCCAGCCTCCCGCCCTCCTACTACCCCTCTACCCTCCCCTCCTCCAACCTCATAGCCGCACTACCCCCCGCTATGCCTAACCCCCCGCACACTATCACCTCCCCAACACTCTGCTCCTTCAGCCCAACTACCCCTGAGGAGGTCTCTAAGGTCTTCACGAAATCCCGCCTCACCACCTGCCCCCTGGACCCTATCCCATCACAGCTCCTCCAGTCCCCCCCCCCCCCCATCATTCGCTCTCTCACCCACATCTTCAATCTCTCCCTCTCCACTGGCACTTTCCCCCCCCTCCCCTCTAAAGCATGCGCACATCACCCCCCATACTCAGAAAAAACCCTCCCTTGACCCCGCTGACCTTAACAACCTTAGACCCATCTCCCTGCTGCCATTCACTTCCAAGCTCCTTGAGTGCCTGGCCTACAATCGCCTAAGCGCCCACCTCACTGATAACAACCTCCTTGACTCTCTACAGTCTGGCTTCCGTCCCCTGCACTCCACTGAAACCGCCCTACTTAAAATCACCAACGACCTACTAACCGCCAAAGCTAGGGGGCCACTGTTCTGTCCTCCTGCTCCTTGATCTCTCCGCGGCCTTCGACACTGTCGACCACCTTCTCCTCCTTACTAAACTGCACTCCCTTGGCATCAGGGACGCTGCTCTCTCCTGGTTCTCCTTCTACCTTTCCCAACGCTCCTTCAGTGTCATCTATAACACTGCCACTTCCCCCTCCCTCCCCCTCTCTGTCGGAGTCCCCCAAGGCTCTGTCCTCGGACCCCTCCTCTTCCCCATCTACACCTCCTCCCTTGGCAAACTAATACACTCACATGGCTTCAATTACCACCTCTATGCCGACGACACACAAATTTACCTCTCCACCCCCCCACTTCACCCCCTCACTCTCCGCCCGCATCGGCC